TAGATCCGCCTAAACATTTGAGAAGACAGGCAGTCTATATCCATTTGGAAGAGCTTAAGTGTCGGCTCTTTTTGCAACCTATAGGAAACATTAGTGAACTTACCATTTTTATAAAACCATCTTACATTTTGCAGTTATTATTTTCTTTTTCCATAATTTGTCAATTTACAAAGGCTGTTTTATGATTAAGTTGGAACTAGATAGAAATTCGTCATGGATCTTTTAAACTTGTCTTTATCGTAAACTATCACTGGTCAAAAACTCATCGAAATGTTTATTTCATACAACCCTACTCCTTTATATCAAAGTACTAATAACATCGATGTATATTATTAAAGGAGTGGATTAAGCGTTTTTTTCATTTTATCGCAAGAATGATTAGTGTTGAATTCTTCAAACAATGAAAGGCTTTACTTATCCAGAATCTTTACCTAATCTTTAGATATTTTAGTATTGTTTTGTAAACTCTCAGACTACATTGGTAGAAACGCATTAGATACTGTAAAACAAATATAGTTAACAGTTAATCAAACATATAGTTCATAGACATGTAGTGTTAAGTATTTTGTAAAATCACTGTCTTAGAAGTACGATTATTGTAAACACGACTACTTCTTTTAGAAAAACTAACATATAAATGCTTTTTATTACCAGAATACGATAGATAGCAACGTTAATTATCAATCACTCCACTTACATGCGGATGTTTAGATATCTGCAAGTTGTGACTCATTCATTTTATAGGACTGTTTATCTATTTTATTGAAGCATGGATTGATGAAATCTATGTTTGGCAATTAAATATGTTAGTTGAGTACCAAACCCATTTAATAATAATGGGATAATGTGATAATATTGTAGTGAACAGAACACTAGTTGAGGACAATCGAATGTATTTAAGCAAAGATTACAGACTATCTCAGTAAATTCTGATAACCAAACAATGAACAGTCAATTTGCAAATTAACAACCAATTGTTTCAATCTTCATTGTTTCTTCTCTTATTCCATTGCTCATGCATTTTCCAAACGATTGCGCTTCATTTCAGTTCTTTTTTCATCGGTCTTCTGCGAAAATACATTCTATGTCTGACCCACACCATATACTACTTATATGGATATAAGTAGACCACACAACAAAATGATCTGAAAAGATACACTTTAATATTAGTTATTATTTTATTTATTTAAACACATAAATATTGGTACAAGGAAGCACCAGATAAATATGCGCCTCACAAATCTCATTCGATTTGTGTGAGGGCTGTGATACTGCCCAGGTGCCCAGACTGAAGCAGGTGGTTTCCTTAGGGGGCCACACCCGGAGCCTTTGACCTGAATATCTGATCCACAAGGCAGTGGAGCATCGTGAGGAGATGCAATTCCATGGTAGCCGGTGATCAACGGTTGATTCGTACGCCATTTGTTCTCTCAGGATACTGGAGCCCATGTGCACCACTGGTTTGGAATCAGGGTTTTCCAATTCCCCTAGGTGGATGCGCCGTTTCCACCAACCCGGTTAAAGCGCCGGACATTCGGTTTTCGTCCTCTCACTTTCGTAAACAACACCCCCGCCACGAGAAGGCAGTGAGTAGGACTTCCTTGGCAGAGGCTATATATTCGCTGGCCATATGAGAGCATTTCGAGAGGGAGAGGTAATTCTCCCCACTCTCGGCCGTACCAGGGCTTAATATTAGTTAACACAGCAGAATATTGGCATTGAACTTCAAAGGTATTATAAAGGTAATGTTGAGGTCTTGCCAATATATATTTGAATCAGTCAGTTAATTTTAGTAACAGATAAGAACGAACAAATCTAAAGAGAACATTGTGGAAGCGACATTATGATTGAACACTATCACTTGAAAGTTTCAGATTAATTCTAGCTAATAAATCATATCTCTGTGGATTTGAATGGTTTTTTGATTTGTATTGCTTTGTGATGAGTATGTAAACAAGATATCAATCATTCAAAAAACCGTTTTTTACCAACATCACGAAATGATCTTGGTTAAACAGTAACAGAAGACTTGAAATCACTGGATGACTGTTTCGTCATCTCTACAATGCGAATACACTAATCCAGGATTAGGTATCGAATCCACGACTTTTGATTTTGAGTACAAACGTTTACCCTCTAAACCAGTGAATGGACATAAAACGGTTTATATTGTTTAATTTCAATCAATTCATAAAACTCTACAACCATCTTCCAATTCACTTGGTAGTTAGCTGCCTTACATTCAGCATGGTCAAACTGCACTGCCACGTTTTAGTAAAACAATGAGATGGAAATAAACATACAGCTAAAATAATGATTTATGCACTCTAATGGGATATTAGATACATGTATGTTTTAACTCTATCCCTGTAGTAAACGTCTACTCAGTTGTTATAAATTGAAATATCGTCTAAACTAATTCTAATGTCTTGAATATAACACCTTGGTTGCTCGAAAAAAAAGTCGGAATTAAATGAACAATTTCGATCATTAGGCTTCATGATACTTTGATATAATGAATTCATTAGTGGTTTGAACAATTTCTATGGATATGTGAAGCCCAGTACTTTGATCCAACTGATGGACATAAGTAATCAGATTTGGAAAATTCTGAAGGTAGCTTAAGAAAGAAATAACTTTTGTGAATGATAAACTGTGAGCTTACTGATAACTGACTTCAATAACTGTTCTCAAAGACATAATAAGAAGCTATTACTGACTGAGTTAATCCACATTAAGAGTGAAACATTACTGGTAACATACCAAAAACAAACTAATATCAAAAAATATAGATCGTGGTGCTTTAACAGTATAGTGCTTGGTTTAAATCTCTAAAGTTCTAAGCTTAATCTATATCTATTCTCAAACTCAGACAAAATATATATTTATTGCTTATCTGATTGACAGTGATCTCCCAGTCAGCATTACTCTGTCATTTAAACTAATCTTAATATTGTAGCAGGTTGATTTATTTGAAATATAAAACTATTATTAGAAATCTAGTCAAGGAATGACAGAAAGTTTTCTCAACGTTGTTTCTACTATTAAGTAAGTTAATACAATTAAATATTTAATACAATTTATCCCTTTGATAAATTTCGACGAATACTAAGGTTTACTGAAGCCTTGAATATGCAGAAAAACTGAAACCCCCTTTATATGTTCAAAACCAATCTGTTCTTACCTTTAAACTATGCTGGTAATGCTGATTTATTATCCAGAGTCATTATCACATTGTTTTTGTGTACTGTAGTTTTCTTTGTTACTGCTTGCCTTTAACCTGTCTAGTTGCCCTTTTAGTCTTAACAAGTATATGTGTGATCAGATTGTTCGAGATGTATTGCGCAAATATATCACAAATAAATATGGCTAACAATAATGGTGTAGGGAACAAGAACACGGGTAGGGACTTTCATATGCATTTGACATGGAGATTATAGACTATCCCACTAAAATCTGACAATGATAGAATAAATGGTTCATTTGCAAATAACAATCAATTGCCTGAATCTTAAGTGTTCCTTCTGTAAATATCAGTCTATCTTCTCTGCTTTTACTGTTCATGCATTTTCATACCAATTGCGTTGCGTTTTAGTTCTTTCCTTATCGATATTCTGTTAAAATACATTTTATGACTGACCATTACCACATACTACTTATGTGGATATAAGTAACCCACACCACAATGGTAGTTTAAAGAAGGAGATAATGAGGTTAAGAATTGTTTTGTGTGAATATTTTACAAATAACTTTCTATAAAAATTTCATTCTCTTCTATATACATATACTTGAATATTTATTTGATAGACAACTCTTAATTAATTTATCATAGTAAGTCCACGATCCATTTACTGTTTTTCTACACTTGAATATCAAGCAATACATCAAATATATCGACATATATTTGACAGTTTTCCCTGATGTACATTCCATAAATTCATTTTCATTTCATTATTATTATCAACATTACAAAAATGTATTTTCATAGTTGAAAGCATGAATCAATTGAAGCTAGACCAACAAGGAAAACCTGGAAGCACTGGACGGTCGTGCTTCAACCATGAAAATACTGAAATCTCCACAAAACCTTTTCTGATAACAAAAATGTATGTTGGTTTTCAGATGTTCACTAGTTAGTTTAAATGATAAGTCTATAAGAAATCAAACTATTGATGTAGAGATATAATCATTTGATTTGTTCAGATTGTAAGTTTAATTCACAAAACCGACTTCTTGTCAAGCGAAATAACTATTCACTGTCTATTTGATTAGATCTATTTTTATTTGAAATTACTGAAGCTTTAATTTTATCGTCTTGGAAATGATGACACCGAGTGAAATTGGGTAACATTTGGCTAGTATAAACATTAAAACTAAATTGAACTTTGAATGGACTGTAACTAAGCTATAAAAAATGTTTGTATCTAATCAGAATTCTGTATTCATTAACAGAAAGATTTAAAAGCGTTTAGCTAGAAATAATTCTGAGCATAGGGGTTATCGATATTGTCGAATGTTAATGAAATCTATGTTAGACAACCACTGAAAATCTAAAAGTATTGAACAGCTGCTTCATTGTCGTATGGAATCCTTCAGAAAGACATAGCTAACGGCTTGTTACATTAACAAAAATAATTCGACTTCAAAATCGAGTAATGATACAAAAGCATGAAAATCTACTTTTTAAGGTACCATGTTTAATTGTGTAAGAACTTTTGTCTAAATTAGAGTGAGTAGTTTCACAATATTTGGGCGCCGAGTTGATGTAAGACATTCAGGAAATATAGTTCCTTGAAAAAGCTTGGACCAGATTGCCAGGCGAAACGTTGGATTTACTTCAAATTCATTCGCTGAGATTTTACAAATATATTATTCCTATTTAGTGTCATGTTTAATTGTGTTAAATTTTTAAAAAAGAAACAGTTTAAGCTGGTTCTAAGAAAGAATATTTTCGAAATATGGTTTCATTCAGTTTACTTTTCATGTTGATAAAATCTAAGGTCTCGAACCACATGGAAATACTGTTGGAAATCCTGCACGGTTCACTATTGATACATTCAGTGCTGGTCGGGGTGCTGTTGAAGTGATTGTGCTGAATCCTAAAGGACAAAGAGAACCAGTAAGTCGATAGTTAATTGTTTTAATCATAATAATATTTTCGATTCCGTGTTCCATTAGTCGGTCGTCCCACTCTGGAACATCCTATGGAGGTAACATCAAAGTATATTCTAGTACATAAATATAGACAAATTTTACCAAACATCAACTTGAAATAAACCTGCTTCAGATTCCTTCCAATTATTTCGTATTTTATTCCATCGTTTTGATTATTTTAAGGATACAATTCATCCTGAGACTTAATTTCTAATTTAAATGTATAGTTTCTAATGAAAGAAATCCATTGGTGTAATTAAGATAGTTCATTCTGAGGCTAACCAATCCAAACACTCCATAAAGTAACAATAATTTATTTATTTTTTTAATAATCTATCATGGGAATAGAAACAATCCGATAGTTGTTAAGCTGTGAATTCTCACAAAAGAATGACTAACAGTTAATTAAACTGAATAACCCATACAGTGTATACGGAAAAAATAGGTACACTATCTTCCATCCCCTTGTTTAACACCTGGTTTGATAACATTATTATCACTCGCTTTATAAACTGTTGATTCAATATTGTGTGTAATGTCAATGCCCTGTTAACATATATATATATTCACAATTTAAACCATTTGGTAATTAATTACTTTGTTGTTTTGTTTGCATGTGAACAGTGTTTACATAACATACGCTTAGTTCATGTATAAAAACTTTCGTCTAAATTAGAGCGACTAGTTTCACAGTATTTGAGCACCGAGTTGGTGTAAGACATTGAATAGGAATAATATATATTTGTAAAATCTCAGCGAATGAATTTGAAGTAAATTCAATGTTTCGCCTGGCAATCTGATCCAAGCTTTTTCAAAGAAATATAATCAAACATCAAAATTATGGAATATAAAGAGGGACATGGTTCTCCGGTTCATTGTATACTGAATAGGTCATCTAATCAACGCTAAAAATGTTTAAACTAGGTATATGTATTAGTGTGTTAGAGATTTGTGATGTGAAATGATAAGTGTTAAGATATATTGTATATGTAAACGTAAATGGTGAGAGGAGAAATTTCGCTTAGTCCGTTTAAAAACGTAACTGCTTTTTTAAACATATGATGTAATTGTAATTTATCTCACTCTATTTGGCATACTTACAATTCAGTTGATAAGCTTAAAAGTAACTGTTACATATAAGTGAATTCAACATTAATATATGTTAACTTATTTAACTTACAATCGTAAATTAATATTTACAAATCTGATTATTATCAGAAGGCGGTTTTGTGGAGATGTTGAGTCGATTGAAACTAGACCACCATGGAAAACCTGGAAGCACTGCTCGACGGCCGTATCGTCCTATTGTAGGACTCCTCAGCAGTACGCATCCACGATCCTGCCTCGTGAGATTCGAACCCAGGATCTATCAGTCTCAACCCCCTTCCGATAATGATCATATGCTCACTAGTGACTGGCTCCATGAGGCATTTCCTAGAGTTCTAGTGAGAAGAAGCAACCAGTGGAGTTCAATCAGGTCTGTTGGGAGCTATCAACTCATTGAAGACATTGGTGGACGGTTGCTCAATTTCGTGGATTGGTTGAAGTTAGACATTAACACAGTTGGATGCCGACCAGCCCAGCGGTCTAGTGGTTCAGTGCTCGCGCGCAAGAATGATAGGTCCTGGGTTTGAATCTTACGATTTGGGATCGTGAATGTGCACTGCTGTGGAGTCCCACAATAGAACGAAACGTCCGTCCAGTGCTACCAGGTTTTCCATGGTGGTCTAGCTTCAATTGACTCCTCATCTCAACTATATAAAATCTGATTATCTCTTTTAATAATTAACTCCAATCTAAAATAACATTTAGTCTGAATAAATATCCTAGCCAACCTTGCGAGATTATAGATTTATATCAGAAGAAAAAGAATCATTTGAATTGTTAGCACTTGTTGAATAGTGAAGCAATGATATGGGTTCATTTTATTCTGACTGTATATATGGTTTCTGTACTGTTGGAGGATAAGAATACATTTTTAAAAAGAACTATAAATCAGGTTCCAGTTAGGATTAACTGTTTAAAAGTTTATTAATTCAATTCAAAAATACATAGGTACTATTTTGAGAATAAAGGAAAAATTACGTTAATAAACTGTAAAGTATTTGGAGGCCCCTAATTACTAAAAATTTATGCAGTTTGTTGCTACAATGTTACATAACGCACACATGTAAACTGGTAGATACGGTTATAGCATCTGGTTGTAACATAAGTAATAGGTTTGCCTAAATTTGGCTGTCACAAGAGTGAATCGTCCGGTACAAACTGATCATAATGGTTTCTGAATGTGTTCTTCTAATTATGGTATTTAATCTACTAATCAGTTTTTTCAAGTTATTTATATATCTTCGAAGTTAATTCTTATTAAAAGGATTTTAAGTTAGAAGTTGGAGATAGTTAATGGGAGAAGACAGACCTAGGTTCCCTGTCATCTGGCACTCATCAACAAGATGCACCTGTAATTTTGAGGAAGTCCACATTCTATGGTTGATTCGAAAAATGTTTACTCATCCTCGCAATCTGAAATGTTACCACTGATCTATTCGAGCTACTAATAGCATCCCATAGAACTGCAGTATATACGATTGACTGGTTGAAATAAAATTACAGATAAACCTTGCTGAAGGAGTCCGAATGGCATGAAGCATAGGTGCCGAGTTTCCTGTCAACCACCTATAATCACCAGTTTACATCTCAACACAGTGCACGTGATTTCAAGTCACTTAGACTATTGGTTAAATTGCAACTTGATCAATAGAACTCTATCAGCGTTAAGAAGGACATTTAAATACGTAACATTTACCATTACTCAGTAATCAGGCACTTGTAAAGATACAATTTTTCCTCAACCTTACCATATTCCATTTAATTCCTTCCGATCTTTCCATATTTGGTTATGTTTTGAAAATCGCCGTTATCTAGGTGGAGTTTTGTTTTCTAAGATGGTTGGTTTGATAGTGGGGCTTCCATTGTTCTTCTGAACAAAATCAAAAGCACAAACTTCAGGTAGAAGTGAAGTGTTCGGATTTCTTCACACATGACTCACAGCTTCGCCTGTCGACCTCGATTGACTATTGTTGGAAACAAAACTCCACCCACATCATTCACCTGAGCTACAAATTTTCTCCACCATCTCGATAGCTGTTATCATGCAAATGATGTTCAAATTCAATGAATTCCTATTCGATTTCGTCCTCTAAAAAATTTTCAAATATTTTCTTTTCTTTCTGTTATTTAGTGTGATGTACTCAGTAATAACGATAAACAACAAACTTATTCTTGCGCCTATGTTCCAACACAAGAAGGTGAATACAGGGTTATCATTAAATTTGCCACCAAAGAAATTTTAAATTCACCATTTAAAGTTATGGTAGAGGGTGCACAAGGTGATGGAAGTAAAGCAACTGCATCTGGTCCAGGAATTGAACCAACTGGGAATCAAGTTGGTCGACGAACATTCTTCAATATATTCACTGCCGGTAACTTTATATCATTTTTTCGAACATTGTATCATTATAACAACTAGTTCGTAGTTTTATTGATTAATGATTTTTGAACTTATCAGCCTGTCAATGTCGATTTCAGGATGTGCGCTTTGATTTTGTTTTTGATTTATAACAGCTAACCATAGAGCATCCATTCACAATGTAAAATTAAGTTTTCAAATGTATTAGTTGAATGGATAGATTTGGATCATCTATTTTAGATTACTTTCAATATTCGACACTTAAAACTGAATTTCAATTGATATCATGAATACATGAATGTTAGACCATTACTGAAAACCTCGAAGCACTGGACGTCCGTTTCGTTCTAGTAAATCTGATTTTATAATCGTTCATTAGTCTCTAATAATCTCCAACACTTGAACCAAGGAAAAGCCTGAAAGTATGAAAACTGTTTTATTTCTGAAGTTAGTTGGGAGAAAAGACAAACTGGGATATTAATAACTTTGTGGGTAACTTTCATATTATAAAAGTCTTGTTAAATTTAATTATAAAATTGATATTCATCCAGTTGTGGTATTAAGTATAATCTGTCGTTTATCTAGAACCCTCTGTAGAATTTCTACAGAACAGTTAGTTGACGAAATGTTTTCAGTCTCTTTCCAGCTTTTGTGAACTTTATCGACAAACTCTCAAGAGCTCCCAATAATTCTCTGCTTTTCTTAGATTCTTTAGTTAATTAATTTCGTTCCAGATATAGTTAGTTTTTAGTGTGACAAGAGTAACAATTTGGATGGTAAACAATGAAAGACACTTTTCCAACTTTTAAACTAAATCCATTACACTGATGTGCCCACGAAAACAATTATGTTCCTTTCATATCATTTTACGTATCGGTTCATCATCTAGTCAAGAGAAAAATAAAGACAATCCAACACTACATTTACTAATTATGTTGAACAGCGACTAAACATTGGATAATCTGAAAATCATAAAATTTCTATTGTGAAGAAGTAGATCAGAACGCCGAAAATATAAAAATTCTCAATCTATTCAGATTACTTAACAGACAAAATAGTTTGAATAATCTTAAAACTGTTAAAACACTATATTAGGAGGGGGTTTTGTGGAGATTTTAGTAATTTTATATAGTTGAAATCATTAGTCAATTGAAGTTAGACCACCATGGAAAGCCTGGAAGCACTGAACATTGGTGAATGGTTGCTCAACTTCGTGGATTGGTTGAAGTTGAACATTAACACCGTTGGATGCTGGCTCAGTGGTCTATCGGATAAGTGATCTGGCGCGAGACCGATATGTCCTGGGTTCGAATTTCTCTCGCATGCGGGATCGTGGATGCGCACTACTGAGGAGTCCCACAATGGGACGAAACGGCCGTCCAGTGCTTACAGGTTTTCAGTGTTAGTCTATCTTCAATTGACTCATGATTTCAAGTATATAAAAAAACACTATTTGTCACAAAATCACTAAGCACAATGAAAATTAGTCATCTGTTTTCATTAAGTCCATGGTATTGCATATGTGTTAAATTCTCTCCTTATTTCCGTTTCATTAAAACATATAACTTGATTGGGTGAATTTTTTCACTCCTAGCAGTTTTAACAACATATATGTATATAACAGCTTTCTCTATTCACAACTCTTATTCGTCTTACAGTCAATCAGTTCATCTACTGCCTTAATCATGTAAACACAGTAATTTCAAGCTAATTAGATACAATTTTCATTTCTTGAAACATAGTGCTGTGATGTGCAGTGCCCAAAATCTGATACTGATACACGGTGTGCTAGTTACTAACCCCCCCCCAACTGACTACGTCAGCAAGAACATAAGAGAAAGCGAGAAAGCGTATTGGGCTATCTGATGAAAATGCACAAATACTCATTCATATATATACCACTCTATCTTTAGGAAATTGACCCATTGACCTTAGGATCACTTCTGATTACCGTCAAATGACCTCTTTGCTACTTCTGATTGGCTCTCTATATCACATAGACAACAAGTAATATCAAATATTTTTAGTGAAAATAGCTATTAGTATTATGATTTCATAATTTACTTAATTCATATACAACTTACTTTACTTTTTAATATCAACTAAGTTATAATTTCACTTAATTCTTTTTACGAAGTTGGTCCTAATCATGATTGTGAGTTCAAATGAATGTTGTACAAATCATATTATGTTTTCTTTAATCTCAAATCGTTATAGAATAGTCGTAAAAATATTTTGTTGTATGATCAACACAACATTCTAAATTGCACTTGATGTATATTATGACAATTGAATGTAAAAAAAGGAAAGTATATACTGATACTTTGTGAGGTTGACCATGCTTTTTTGTACCTTTTAATAAATATGAAATATTTGCCATTCATGAACATTCGTCGTTTATTTAGTGTATAAGTCCTGCAAACAAGATCAAGATATTCAACGGGGATTTCGTTTTAATCATCTAAAACTATCTATAGGTGTTTTATATGAACACACCACTGTAACACGTCCCAACTTTTTTGACAGAAAGAGCAAGTGAAGTGAAAATTAAAGTTTAAAATGAAATTGTTAATGAAAATTATGTTCTTGTATGCAGCGTTCATCTACTGAATGGATGAAAAAGTGACTGGAAATACTTAGTACTACATAAAAGTTGAACACTGAAAAACTGATGTCGATTTTCATCAATTTGCATTCATGACAGTTTTTGTTCATTATGATCATTGATATACATTACGATTTTTCCAGTTGGAATAAGTGAAAAACACTGATTGTAAATCTTACTGATATTGAGTAATTTTTGTAAACTCTGACTAACGTAACAAACAACAGTTTAATATATTACTACACATTTTCAGGATGGTGGTTTGTGGAGGTTGTATTAATTTTAATAAATGAGTTCATGAGTCGATCTAAGCTAAACCACCATTCAAAACCTAAAAGCACTGAACGGCCGTTTCGTCCTAGTATAACACTTCTCAGCACTGAGCATCCACAAGCCCGTACACGGGACTTGAAACCAGGACATTCGGTCTCTCTCGCGAAGCTTAATCTCTAGACCACTGAGTCGGCGTCTAAAAGTATCATCGTTTAACTTTAATCATTCCATGATCTTGCTCAACCTTTCATCCATTGTCTAAGATGGATGACTGTCTCAAACCTAACACGGACTGGACTCCACTGATCACGGTGTGTGGAATCGTGGATACTCACTGCTAAAGAGTTGTATACTAGAACGAAGCGGCCTTCCTGTGCTTCCAGGTTTTCAGTGGTGGTCTTGCTTATATCGACTCATGAATTCAACTGTTAAAATACAGATTTAACATTTGTTCAGAAACGACAAATCTATAAGAAATATTTACTCCATTAATTATTATAAATTATATGATTAAACATATGTTGTGTACATCAAACAATAGATCAGCAGATTTAAAAGGTGCTAGCAAATAAGAAGAAATTAATTGGTCACTTTAAGTGTAGAAATATAAACAATGCTTCCAGGTATCCAGTCAGATCTAGTATAAAAACTACTTATATGTGTTAAAGACGAATTTATTTAATATTTTAATGCTTCAAATGTATCACAGTCAAACACAAAGAACACAATGACCTTAAAATAGTATTTGAAATGTTCAATAGATTGTGAAGATTATTTCAATTTTGAGATATTTTCGTCAGTATTTGCGATTCATTGAGTCAGGAGAAAAAAAACCAAATATGACCAATACTATACCATAGAACAGTTGGAGCATGAACTATGAACCATCGGATAGGAACTCACTGATAACGTACTTCTTACTAGATCCTGAGATCCTAAGTATAATCCCTAATAAGGTTGTACTAGTAAGAAACAGTTATCTAGTGATTCAAAGTTTAAGTGGCTTATGGGCTAAAAAGCCATTTAAGTATAAAGATACACACATAATTTGTCTAGCCCTTTATTAAACAGAAAAAGTTTTCTCTTCAAATATGTTAAACTAACGCATACCTTTATTCGAAAAATAACAATGCACATTCTATAAACACCTTTAACTCTTCATTTTGAATGAATTGCTAAAAATTTAATCAAAACAACTTTTACTGTTTCTTAAAAACTTAAAATTACATTTTATTCAAAGCAAAGATGGATAGTGGATAGCAGTGGAATCCAGAACGCGCGTTTCGTCCTATTTAGGACTGGTCAGCTGGGTGTACCTGCATCGCAGAGTTGATGTTCACTCTAGGATTCGAACCCAGTACCTTTCGCTTCAAACGCCATCTCATTTGAAAATCAACTCTGAGATGCAGGTACATCCAGCTGACCAGTCCCAAATAGAACGAAACAAGCTTCCTGGATTCCACTGTTAGCCACTATCCATCTTTGTTTATAAAACTTGTGAATTAAGGCTATATTGAGGCTATACGCGCAGTATGCACATATGGCAAATAAGAGACTGGTCAACTGTAGTCCTAAACATCAGTGGAAAGACTCAAGTAAACAATACCAAGTGAATTTATTACATTTTATTATTTAAATCATTCTTTATTTATAAAAAGATCCAGTGTAGATTTTCTTCAGACATTCAGTTATAAAGTGTAAAATTTGATGAAGTCAATGAGTTAATCAATAACCGTAAACTGTATTATAGCTTACTATAATATTTGTCTCTTTTAACTTTCCATTCCTCTTAACACATGAACTAAGGATAGGGAGTGAAGTAGTCGAACGCGTTGACAACTTCACTTATCTTGGAAGTCTGATCAGCCCTAATGGGTTGGTGTCTGACGAAATCTCAGCACGGATCCAAAAAGCTCGTTTGGCTTTTGACAACTTACGTCACCTATGGCGAAGACGAGATATCCGTCTATCAATTAAGGGACGAGTACCATGTGCAGCAGTTCGCTCTGTTATACTTTACGGCTGTGAAGCATGGCCATTAAGAGTAGAAGATACTTGTAGGTCACTAGTATTTGACCAAAGATGCCTTAGAAATACTGCTCGCATCTGCTGGGATAACCGGGTAAGTAATAGTGAGGTTAGAGGCAGGGTATTAGGGAATGATGATAAATCAGTTGATGAGGTGATGAATCTTCATCGACTGAGATGGTTGGGCCACGTATAACGTATGCCTGAACACCGATTACCACGACGCGCAATGCTGACTAGTGTAGGGGATGGTTGGAAGAGAGTTAAGGGCGGCCAAACCAAAACGTGTCATCAGTGCTTGAAGTCACTAACTTCTAGTCTGAGCTATGTCGGTAAATGCAGACTACTTGGTTGGGGTCCGAGTGACTATCGTAACCAATGGTTGGAGACTCTGTGTGACATGGTTCAGAATCGATCACAATAGCGTAGGTGTATACACTCTTTATCTTCCCTTTAACCTTGAGATTGAAATTGCTTCATAACGTTTTTCCTTCCTATACTATATCCTTATATACAACCTATCTTTTATATATTGCCACTACTAAATTAACTACTTCTATGAATCCGGTGTTGATCTTGTTGTGCTAACGAGGTATGGCAACTTGGACTGATGCATATATGTGCCTGGTCTCACGTTGTAACTGACTGATTGACTTTCATTCCTCTTAACTATAAGTAAAGCATATTTCAACCATTCTTGTATTTTGTTTACACTTATGTTGTTTTTTTGTTTATGAACAATTTTATTTCTGTTGTCTGGTTTCATAATCTTATTTGTATTCAAAGTATTTAGTAACCGAATAAAGAATTATTATTTATATATTACCATCAGTAGACAATTATTTTGTTTCATCTGGTAAGTTTTTCCATTTAATGATTCAATAAAATCATTACACATACTTACTTAGGCACTTACACTTGTTACCTATCGTGGAGGTGCACAAGCTGTTCGCTAGCATTCTCTAACGAACTTTGTCCTGGACAATCCTTTCAAGTTCTTTTCAGTTGTTATTAATCCTTTTGATGTCTGCCTCCAATTCCTGACGCAATGTGTTCTTTGGTCGTCCTCTTTTTTTGTTTTTCTTCAGAATAGCAAGTTAACGCTTGCCTCGTGATGCAGTATGATGATTTCCGAAGTGTGTATTCAGTCTACTTCCAATATATTTTTCTGTTTTCCTCCCTAGCTGGGATTTGGTTTGTTCTCTCCCATAGTAACTTGTTGCTGATGGTGTTTGGACAACAGACATTGAGTATCTTGTGTAGTCATATGTTTATAAACACTTGTACCTTATTTCTAATGATTGTTATAGTTCTTCACGTTTTAGCTCCTTACAGAAGAACTGTATTGACATTTGTGTTGAAGATTCTGAATTTGATATTGGTTGACATTCACACATACGAAGTTATTTAATTATAATGTATTAATTCTAAACAGTTTTGTATGATGTTGAGATATATCAATGGGTTTTCCCGATTTAACACTTACTTCATTTCAGAAAGTTTAAATTTTGTGGGCGTTTTTGTAAATAATGTATATATTCTAAATGAGATCTCTGAAAGATGCAATCAGCTACAGATCAGCTGGTAACCAAGATGTATTGAATATTCATGTTTTTCTGTTTCAAGACTTTACCGTTGTGTCCGCGGACATACTTAGTAAACTTGGTACTTGGTTATTTACACTCAGATTCACAATTAGACTTGTATAAAGGGAACTGAATAGTACTTAATATCAGTTAATCAACAACTTACTTTATATCACTATTAAATTCTATATATTTTGATTGAATCATGATTATCTAACTTGTTATATTTCTATTTGTTAACAAAATAATATTCATTTAATTATTCTTAGCTGCTGGACCTGGAAATGCGGATTGTGTAATTCTAGATCCTCATGGTCGTCGTGATTCGATTAAACCTTTGATAACTCGTCAAGGTGAAGATAATTATCTTGTGGAATATACACCAAAAGATGAAGGTCTTCATTCAGTTAACGTATTTTATGCTGGTCAACAAATATCTAATTCACCATTTGGTGTGATGGTTGGTCCACGTAAGTTTTGTTTCAAGGATATATACATATTATCTAATTTGACATTTTTGATTGTCTTGATGATAGTTTCCAGATTTCGTATAATAATAAATTTCATTAGTGTATAAACATTCTGTAGACGGACATAAAACATAAAACTTGCTTTGAACACTTGTTACATTACATTTTTGGTGTAAACTTATTCATGCCACACTAAAATAGTACATTATGAACACATTTATGATTTCCACTTCTGAATCATTCAATCTTATTGATGACCACTGGAACACCCGAAAGAAAACTCCTCATTCCAAACACTTCTTGCTAATATTAAGTTCTGTTGTGAATATATCCACGATATACAACAATTTACCTTAACATACAGTTAGTCAAAAGTGTACAATTTTGTATTTCCGATCATATTTCTAAAAGCTTGAAGTTAAAATCTAATACAATAATAAACAGTTTGATACTTCGAAATCTCATCAATAGCGGCCATATTATCAAAGATGTTTAATCTTTCCAAATAACTAGCATTCAAAGTAGCATAGCTTTATCATATTTCTCAGAAGCAGCAACTATTTTAAAAAAAAACCTAAATCAAATTTATGCCTTTAGAGGGAAACATCTGATAATTTATCATTACCAAGGTAAAGAGACAGTTTTGATTAGTTTCTCTCCTGTGTTTATTATCATTTGTGTTACTGTATACAACCTTCGCTTAGATGATTATTATTTCATTCAATTTAAAACTGTTTTTGTTACCCATACTGGACATTCCCTCACTTAACTCTTAAGATTTATGTAACTTCTTCAATTATTCTATGATTATCAGGATGAGATTGTAGAGATTGTTGAGCTTTTGATTGAAATCATTAGTCGATCAATGTTGGACAACCATTGAAAACCTGGAAGAAGTGAACGGCCGTTTCGCCCTAGTATGCGAGTCCTCAGCAGTGCGCATCCTCAATCCCACAAGTAGGATTTAAACCCAGAACTTTCGGTCTCGAGCGCGAACGATTAATCGTTAGACCATTGAGCTAGGTGTTTGCCGTCTAATGCTCCCAGGTTTTCAATGGTGGTTTAACATTTATTTATTTATGATCTCATTCAAATATATTCTATGATTGTTAAGCAATCTGTCCTATTAATTTCCAAGTTGTAAATAATCACTGTCTCAATACTCTTATATTTCCTAAATCTTACTTCAACTTACTTTATACATCCAATTATACATAGTGATAATTGCTAAAATGTTAGCGGTGAAGACTATTGTCCATTTTTTTTTATTGTTATGTAGTGTTCACAGCCGATTCACATTAATAAACAAACAATACAAAAAAAGATCACTATTATGGATACATAGGCTTGTTTATTTTAAATAGGACATTTATCTTTCTGCTTATTTGTACATTATTTTAATGAACAGATATGAGTTTATTACAAGATGATTCATTGTCTGCATTGATCATACTAATTTTCCATATAAATGTACATAAGAAGACCTAGCAATGGAACTAGAAAATGTTTTTTTTTTGATAAATAACAACACTAGCCTACAATGTAGGTAACATAAATATGAACTTGAATCTTCCCATTGATGTCTAGGACGGCAATCGATCAGTCTCTTATTAGCATGTGTGTATCCTGTGTGGACTGTGTCGAGATTGCCTTATTTCACAAGTTGGATGTATCTGCATTTTGGAGTGAACATCAATCTTAGGATGTGGATACACCCAGTTTACGGGTCCCAAATAGGATGAAACGAGCGTCCTGGATTCCACTGCTAGTCATTATCCGTATATATTGGTCTAGCCAATAAATACATAAACTCCGGTCACAAAAAATATAATATAACTCAATATAATCTCATACAACACTTGAGACTGATATTCGACCCAGCCTTCAATTACACTTTAAGTTTTCAAAGACCTCACTAAAATACATGGTCTCCATGAGAAGAGCTTTTCACTTCAACCGTTCAACAAGTAAAAACTCTCGCGAAAGTTCTCCTTCCACTTTTTTTTCTACCGAGTAATGTTTGATGTTGATTCGTGGTTCCATCTGTTCATAAATCTATATCACTCTTAAGAAGAAGGATATACTTGTAAAATAGTTTTGTAATATTTTTGTGTCTTTATCTATCACTAAAATATAAATTTACATAATAAGTGCAAAATGAAGGGAAGGAGAACAAAGCACAAATACTGAACAGTAATGAATTGGTTGATTATAGTAAGGCTTATTATGGATATTAGGTATAAATATTAAAAAATCAGACAAAGAGGACGCTCTCTTCACATTCCCCTGCATGAACATCAATTAGCAGTCAAACTCCATGATATATATTCGCTTAAATCAATGCATGTGGACAACTTTGGACATATATTCGACTGGAAAAATATTGAAATCTTGGATGGAGGAAATACTAAACGCACCAGGTGATTTTTAGAAGCTTGACACTCAGGTCAGTTTGCAGTCAACAAACACACTGAAATCAATATAATTTATCACCAATCAGAAGGATCATAGAAAATTAACTGGAGATACAATGAAAATAAAGAAGTAGACAATGACAGGTTGAATGTCAACAATAACCGATTGACAACCTGGCCAACAGGACAAGTCGTGTGTCAGAAGTGCAGAAATGTGATCGTTTTGTTTCGACCTGAATACTGTGCTGATAATGTTGTTCAGAATAAGTTCCACAACCCAATCATCCAACTCAAAGAACAAAACTCCATCAGAGCTTTCATTATTTACATTATATATATATATATATATATATATATATATATATATATATATGTCCTCTTCATTGTTATAACTAGTGGTTGAATTGTAGCGTATCCTCATATATATTACACATGTTCAATTTTCATTTATATTACATATACTTGGATAAATAGTTGAAATAATTTGCATAAAATGTTGAATAATTACTTACTTACTTACGCCTACTACCCCTCGTGGAGGAGAACAGGCCGCACACTAATATTCTCCATCCATCCCTGTCCTTGACAATCCTTTCCACTAATTTCCAGTTAACATTCCTCCTTTTCATATGTGCTTCTATTTCCCGGCGTAATGTATTCTTCGGCCTTCCTCTTTTCCGCTTCCCTTCAGGATTCCAAATTAGGGCTTGCCTCGTGATGCACATTGATGATTTCCTTAATGTATGTCCTATCCACTTCCAACGTCTTTTCCTAATTCCCTCTTCAGCTGGAAGCTGGTTTGTCCTCTACCATAAAACGTTGTTGCTGATAGTATCCGGCCAATGGATGTTGAGTGTTTTGCGTAGACAACTGTTTATAAATACTTGTACCTTCTTGATGATAGATGTAATAGCAGTTCTCTACGTTTCAGCTCCGTACAGAACGACTGTCTTGATGTTCGTATTGAAGATTCTCACTTTGAAATTAATTGACAGTTGTTTTGAGTTCCATATGTTCTCATAGCAGTATAAAAAATAAATATACATGATTTTTATGATAAGCATCTTTAATATATCTGTTCGTTGTAATAATAATTAACTGAATATAATGACCAGAAAATTAGAATTGGATTGTAACTAGATTCAGAAACCAGGACATTCTTTTCGTCATCTAAGTGTACATACATCGAATGTTTGTATTTCCCTTGGAGACTTAAACCCAATATATTTCATTTCAAATGCAATTTTGTTATTCACCGAACCATAAGATCTAGGCATTAACTAACATTTTCATATTGTATGAAATCATGGTTAAGTCTTTTGGGTTTTTACGTTGTTTATATTATGACCACCATGGAAAACCTGGAGGCACTGGACGGCCATTTCGTCCTATTATGGGACTCCTCAACAGTGCGCATCCACGATCCCGCACTCGCGAGATTCGAACCCAGGACTTACCAGTCTCGCGACAGAGCACTTAACCGATAGACTACTGAGCCGGCTTGTTTGTATTAGTGGCTGATTTTTATCATTCTCTAATGGTATACATGTATCGTGAACAAATTATATCGATAGGACCTCTAGTTACAGGTGTCTAGTGAAGTTGGATCTGTTCAGGATGCACAAATACCAGTATAAACTGGTTAGCTGTAGTCAATAATACCGACAAGAGAGAAAAACCTGAACTCTTACATACAACTACAAGTTGTGTATTACTCTTAATAAGAGATTTGAAATAGAAGATATGTGTACAGCCTATATATAGTTCGATTGTACGTCAAATATCATGTATATAAAGATAAACAATTACAAAAAAATAGATGACGTAACCATGATTTTAAAAACATTCGAAATAAACCCTTATGAAAAGGGAGTTGGAAAAAGGAATAAATAGAATTAGAAACAACAGTTGATTGCATGATTCATGGTAATCATTTGTGAAAAGGATTTGCATTATACACAAGTTTTGATCTTCTCAATATGCGACAACTATTTCAGTGATAAATAGCCAGAGAGAATGTCAAACTTTTAATATTCTTTTATTAGTTGTAAAGATGACTTTCATTAGTTTTCATATATTAGTGTCTTCATAGGTGTATTGTAGTGAACAAAACCTCGGTTGGGGACAATCGAATGTATTTAAACAAAGATTACAGACTATCTCAGTAAATTCTGAAAACCATACAATGTACAGTCAATTTGCAAATTAACAACCAATAGTCTCGATCTTCTCTGTTTCTTCTCTAATTCCATTGTTCGTACATTTTCCTACCGATTGCGCTTCGTTTCAGTTCTTTCGTCATCGGTCTTCTGCGAAAATACATTCTATGTCTGACCCACACCATATTCTACTTATATGGATATAAGTAGATCACACCACAGTATATGTGACTAGATTATTCGAAATGTAAAACTGAAATGTAATTCATTTCTTACATTTACTAATGGTAAAGATGCTTATAGATATCGGTAGTGAATATCACTTTTTTCAATGAAAGTAAGCTTAAATCACCTGTCCTGTGTCTCTACTTAGTGATGTTAGATTGACAACATTTTGATGAGTCATTTTACGATTAAGTCACAAGCATCCACCTCTCCTTGAAATACACGCGACTTAATAACAGTATCAAGGCAATCCGCTCAGGATGCCATATGCCGAAAGGGACTGATGAGTTGCAGTCCTATAATCTTAACAACCAATGTATATATAATAGTGAGAATTATGCAACTAGGTCTACACCTAAATCCCTTAATTTTTAAACACTTTTTTTCCTTAAAATACAATATTTTTGCTGTAAATTTACAACTTTATTCTTTCATATAGGACCACCACCAGTAGTACAATCTCCTGCACCTATAGTTAATCAAGAAGGTGTGCATCAATTCTTGTTGTTTGAATGAATAATTTTTTTATGGCTAAGCTTTATTTCTTCATTCAATTTTGACATTTGTTATGATCATTATTAAGTTACAGCATAGATCAGCATGACAGTAAATCATTTCAAAGTACAATTACATGAAGGTTGATAAGACAATCATCATTATTGATGGTCAGAAATGTAGAAAAAAAAAGAGTTAATCACTATGCATGCAACCAAAATACTTCATGATTTAATATTGGCCGAAGAAATGTTGTGGCTTTAAACAAGCTAAAAAATAATCATATTTTGCTTTGATCATTTTGATTTGATTTGATTGTTTATTTTTATATTGGTTTGGTTAGATTACGGTCGATGCTGCTTACTTCTTACAAACTCTCAACAGATTTATTTTGATTTAACTATTTTAAGTAATGTTTTAATGTTTCAAACCTGATCTAACAAAGTTTCTTTCATTAAAATGGTTCTTTTATCATGTATCTCTTAATGCATATATCCTAATATTATGAGGATGCACACAATTCATTCTTAACGTCATTAGCAAAATGAAGCTCATTTTACCTCTGGTTAGGGGGAATGGTTGAAGGAGGTTATCCACCATTATAGTGGTCAAAATCAAATGGTTAGAAGATAATATAGTAAGGCGATTAATGTAAATACAAAGATAATGTAGACTACAGGAAAAATCAATGTACAGTAAAGGTCATCAGAGTGAAAAAATCTAATATTTGTTAAACACTCGTTAAATGAGTCTCACTTCTCTATAAAGTAGATATTGACTGTTTTGAAGAGAAACGAGAGAGAAAGTTTCTCAATTAAAGCATATGGCTCACAGAATACTGTACCACCAAAACATTATGAAATATACCTCTCTCTTAGTGGCAACAAACGTTTGATCAGTTCCTTAAAACTGAAGTAATATCGAAGAAAATTCTTGCCATTTACCTTCACAACATCTGAAGCGAACGATTCTCATTGAATCTGAATAAAAATAAGATTATGTTAGAGGTTGAATATTTTTCATTGCCCAACTTATATAGTCCTTGATAAAAAAAAGTTGAACATTTTATTTGCATGGGGGATTTCTGAAGATTGTAGAATTCTAAAAGTTTAAATCACGAACTGATCTTAGCTAAACCACCAGTGTCAAACTGGAAGCACTAAACAACCATTTCATCCTAGTGTAGGACTCCTCAGCAATGAGCATCCACAACCTGCTATGGGTAATCAAACCCAGAACCTTTGGTTTTGAGTGTGAACGTACTAGCTGGTGATTGGTCTATAGTCATACATGAGGGGTAACAGGCGTAAGTAAGTAAGTAAGTAGGTGAACGTTCTACATGTAGTTCACTGAGCCAGTATCCAACGATGTTAATATCTAACTTCAATCAATTCCTCATATTGTACAGCACTCATCCATTGCCTGCTGTTGATAACTTATTCACACCCCACATGTTCAAAATCCACTAGTTACGGCTTCTCACTAGAACCCTAAGGGTTGCATCTTGAAGCTGGGCACTAATGTGCGCACGATTATTACTAGTATAGGGGATTTGCAAAGATTGTGGACTTTTCAGAGTTAAAATCATTAACGAAACTTAGCTATTATTATCCAAAATGTTTGTAAATTCTTTTCTTATAAACTTTTACGCATGACTTATTTCTAAACAAATTTGGTGTCCATACAATACTGAAGAAGACAACAATAAAAGCATGAGCTAAAACGCTTGTCCAATGTTTTATTTTGTTTTATCAACTGGATTAACGTCTCGAAAGCATGATCATTAACTGTGAAATTTAGCGTATCTGTTTTAGAACACTTGTGTATAACTTACCATACTTTAATTACAGCTCCGTTGCAAGCAACACAGGCACCTAGAAAAATGTCTCAACCACAACGACCAGGTCAGAATTGAATAAATGTACATTAACCTCTTATTATTATTCGATAATATTTACAGAATTCTGTTTCTTATATTCTTATCCGGTTACTTATCGTTTAAAAGGTTGTTACTTGGTTAGTCGAAATAAACGATCAATGTTATATTTTGTAATAATATTACACTTCACACTGTTATATAGGTAAAAGTACTAAGTAGGAGAAAATATCATTGCTCTGGATTACTTTTTTTTTCTGTACATTAATCTGTAAATAGTAATTCACCTGAATATTTTGTTTTATTTAGCCTGTGATCCAAAACAAGCTTATGCCACAGGTCGAGGAATTCAACCTCAAGGTATACGGGTCAAAGATTTGGCTGATTTCAAAGTACATACAGAAGATGCTGGTGAAGGTCCACTGGAAGTGTCTGTAATTGCTCCAGGTAAGAAAAAGTAGATCTTTTTTTCAGAAATTCACATATTATTTGCTTATGTTACATCCGATTAATTAATACCCGCATAAATTGTGTATAATTTGAATCAATACACCATTCTATCGGATTAGATCAATAAATTGAACGATATTATACATGTTTCCAGGTGGTTACACCAATAAACTATATAGTATTTCTAAATTACGTTTTGTATTTTGAAGGTTTTTTGTTTTCTTTGTTATATCCCGACGACATTAATGAATGGCAACAGTTGGGATCTATTTATGGACCAATACTATATATATATATATATATATATATATATATATATATATGTATATTGTGTAATTGTTAAGCAACTAAACTACATCTATTCATATTCCTTTTATTATAAGCTTTATTTTAACCCATGGACTATTATTATACGATTTACTGTTCGTAAGTTATACCTAGTTTCTTAATCGCAGTCTTCCACAATCACACCCATTTTTGGCTAGATCTTATAGAAATATTGTTTTCTATTTTACGGTGTTATGTAGTCTGTTTGGTTTGTATATAAACAGAGTATGTTTGAACTATATGATTCATATCGCAGAAGCTGAGATTTGTGTTCTGGACTCAACAGTCAGGTAATGAAAACTGGTTTGAAATATAAAAATTTGTTAACCTTTAACACAGCATCAAGCAACCGTTAGAAAGATGTTACTTGTTATTGATAATAATAATAATAATAATAATAGCAATAGTTGAAAGCGTGAGTCAATTGAAGCTAGACTAACATGGAAAACATCGAAACACTGGACGGCCACTTCGCCCTATTGTAGAACTCCTCAGTAGTGCGCATCCACGACCTCGCCTCGCGAGATTTGAACCCACGACCTGCCAGTCTCGCACCAGAGCACTTAAGCGATAGACCACTGAGCAATAGCAATAGCAATAGCCTGATATACCTGCAAATCTATTCTAAATATTATCATTATCCATTCCATTTTTATAATAAACTAATTTTTATTAGATAAGATTGTAATAAACAAGAATACGGATGTGGACAATCGAATGAGTTTAAGCACATTACAGAATATCTTATTAAAATATGAGAACCATGTAGTGAACAGTTAATTTGCAAAATAACAATCAGTTGTTTTAATTTGACTATTTTTTCTGCAAATATCGGTCCATAGTCACCGATTATAATTGTTCAGACATTTTCGTACCAATTGCATGCCGTTCCCGTTCTCTCCTTATCTATCTTCTACTGAAATACATTCAATGCCCGACCATCACTATATACTACTTATGTGGATATCAGTAACTCACACCACATGATAACTTAGATAACTTAATTGGGATACTTTTGTTTTCTTAATTTTATCTTGTCGTCAATGTCATAAATGAAAGATTATAGATTTTTCTAGTGGATGAAGAACATATTCCATTCGCTTTTGTTCTTAAAAACGAAAAAAAAACGGACATCTTTTCAGTAATACAGGAAAAGAGAGAAAATGTAAATGCGTTATAACAATGTTTTTATTACTAGTAAATTCATTATTACAAAGCATTGTCATCAAAAATTGGATAAGATTTAATCTACTTATGTTTAATATTGTTACTAATACGGAACTATCTTTCTTCCTTATCCCCAACATTTTTTCTTTAAAACAACGAAAACAAAACAAGGAATAACAGAAACATTGATCAATAATGGTTGAGGTTTTGTTTTTAGGAAGTAAAGATACTGGTGACATAATTTTATGATGTAATGAGAAAAAAACTGTCAAATGATGTAATTGTGGGTTTTATATGATGTAATATACAATTTACATATATCTACCATTCATTTGATTATTAAAAAAGGAAATCTTACGAAATCAATCTAACATAGTATTATTAAAAGGGGGTTTCGTGGAGAGTTTAGTAATTTTATGTAGTTGAAATCATCAATCAATTGAAGCTAGACTATCATTAAAAAAACCGGAAGCACTGGACGGCCGTTCAATCCTATTGTGGGACTTCTCAGCAGTGCGCATTCACGATCCCGCATGCGAGTGAGATTCCAACCCAGGACCTATCAGTAACGTGCGCGAGCGCTTGACCATTAGACCACTGAACTGGTCGGCATCCAACGATGTTAATGTCTAACTTCACTCAATCCACGAAATTGAGTAACCATTCACTAATGTCTTCAGTGAGTTGATATCTCCCAACAGACCTGGTTGAACTCGACTGGTCACTGCTTTTCATTAAAACTCCAGGAAATACCTCATGGCGCCAGTCACTGGTGCTAAGAAGTCCCACAATAGGACAAAACGGACGTCCAGTGTTTTCAGGTTTTCCATGGTAATCTAGCTTCAATTGACCCACGATTTCAACTAACATAGTATTGTTGATTCATTCATTAGTTTATAAGCGATTTAGTTTTTTTAATGTGTTTATTTTTTGGATGCTATTCATTATGTATGAAAAGTGTAATTAATCCTGTTTGTATATACATAGATGTATTGATACATAACTGCTATGAATTTAATCTTGAACATCTTTCTGGCTATTAAACTTTAAACGCTCGTGTAATATTCACAATGATTGTGAGCTATGCTGGTTAATATGACTCAGAAATAGTCTTAAGATTGTAGATTCATTTACTTTTTACCTTATCTTAAATTTTAAACTTTAAATTTTTTGGATACTTTATATTCTGAAAATTCATTTATTCTTCCTGATTCATATTGCACCATACTAGAGGAAGATAATGTTACGTCGATGATTGATCTATGTTTGAAACTCTTCTAGAATGTTATCAGTATAGGGTTGCGAAGATTGTTGAGTTCTAACTGAGATCACGAACTGATCAATGTTGGACTACTTTTGAAAACTTAGAAGCCTTAGAAGGCTGTTTCGTCCTAGTTTGGGACTCCTCAGCAGTACGCCATGACCAGTGGAGTTCGACCGTGTCGGCTGTGGACTGGTTGAAGTTAGACATCAACATTGTTGGGCGTTGGCTCAGTGGTATAGAGGTTAGCCGTTCGCTCCTGATGTCGCAGGTCCTAAGTTCAAATCACGCGCGTGGGATCGTGGATGAGCACTGATGAGAAGCCTTAAACTAGGACGAGACGGCCGTCCAACGCTTCCAGGTTTCCAATGGTCTAACAATGACCACTTCATGATTTCATCTGAAGTAGTTTAGAAACATACTTTTAGAAGAAGTCACTTCGAAATTTCAAATATTATACACATTTACCGTTTTGAACCACAATATTCTTCCGTTAGTGACGTTAGTTTTTCCGAACCGGTTGACTCTGACCGATAATGGAAGCCTCTCAATTAGCTAGTTGAAAGTAGCACAACCAAAATATCTAGTTGAACTGATAGTTCTCATTGTCGTTCAATTTTTTCTCGTTGACATTTAGATGGTAGAGGAATTCCTTGCACAAGTCGAAAAACTGGTGCCTATTTGTTCGATTGCAGCTATACACCACAAAGACCAGGTACACATCAAGTTAATGTTCGATATGGTGGAGATCATATTATGCTAAGTCCATTCACGGTAAGTAATTTTAAAAGATATACTTTCCATTGAATACATTTATTTGTGTCAAGACATAGAAATGAATAAAATCTAACATTTACAATATGTTTTCATTATTATTGACCTAGTTATAATATAGTCAGTCTGAATTCCCCAATCATAATTTACTTTCACTTCGACTCCTTCAAAAAAGCATATTACTTTTATGTAAAAGAAAACAAAACAATTCGAATCTGTAACAACCTCTTTAGAAAACAGTACTTCAGAAATGCCAAATAAAACCGAAGAGAAGAGCTTGAAATGTTGATGAAGCACCTGAACTATTCTAGTTTCACAGGTGAAGTACAAGTTAATTAGTTATTCTGGATATGTTTAGCCGTTTATGAAACTATTTAACTAAAGGATGTATCATAAGGAAAACAACTCTGTCGTTACTTAGTTGCATCTATTGGCAAAATGGACAGATTTATAATGATTAGGTGGTAAATACAAATTATGTGTTATTGTTGGTTTTTATCTAAATGTGTGACATGACTTAGATTCCATCACATTAGTGTAAATACATTCACTCTTTATCTTACCTTACATCTTTAGCTCCAAGATTCTTTCATACATTCCTTCTTTTCAGTCTATGTCCTCAATGTCTAACCTTTCTCATTATCAGTTCTGCAACATGATTTTGATTTCACTATTCATTTTGTTAATTCCATTTTGTTGTGTATATGTGGTATAGCTCCTCAGGTTAACGTATATTTATAAAACCCTCTATGTTAATTAAGATTGACTGACCCACTTATTTGACTCATGTATACAGGAATATGATTTCTAACTGGCAGTAGTATTTATAAATTTCAACGTTGTTATCATACGTATAAATAACAGGTGGAAGTTGCTCCTTACAAAGAATCACGTATAAGAGCATTTGGTCCAGGTCTCGTTGGTGGTGTTGTCAATAAACCAGCTGTTTTCGTCGTGGAAACGAATGGTGAAACTGGAGCTCTAGGTAAGTTTTAGATCTATTTCTTATCGAATCCCTGTTTCTATTGAAATAACAATAACGTAAATATGAAATGTTATTCATATAAATGTTTGAGGTTCATTTAGTACTTTGTATCCCATGATTATGAAACCTGAAAAAATAATCAGTAAAGTGATAAAAACAGTAATTAAATCAATGTTTTTATTAGCTACAATAGGTAGACTTTTGGTGAGAGTGAATTCTCACAGCTCAGTGGTTTAGTCAAAAAATTTAGATTATCCTTTACTTGAAGTAGCTCCTGATCATGTCGAGAATGATAATAACTTGACTTACATTATGGACTAATGTCTTTTAGACAGCTTTTGGAAACTAAGAAGTCAGACATATTCATCCAATGATCCCAATTCAGTGATTTCGAGAATCACCAGTGTTAAGTAGCTACATACTAAGAAGCAGCTGTCCAGTGCCTCCTCGTTTTTAATAACTTAAATAAGATCAGCCCGTGCTGTAAAATATGAAAATTTAATAATATCCACAAACTTCCAATGCGAATAATAATTTATTTAACAGTTTGCGTTGGGCAAAATAAAAAGAACTGAATCTTCTCCCAAATAGCATTATGAATATAATGTCCATCACAAGGAATCAGCGCCTCATGTGATCTTATTTTCACACCCTACCATTTTAACTATTTCACAATACAATGCAGTCTTTATTATCAACCCTAAATCATCTAGTTATCAGTTCCATCAAGTTAGTAAAGACACCGCTTTGAAGATTCCTATGTAGAACGTTACCAAGAAAGGGGATTCCTGGGGGTGCTGTATAACCAACTAGCACTTAAACGCAGTTTACTTAGTGTCGAGTCATTAAAACTAATGATTACATTGAAATTCCATCAATAGAATTCGATTAAAAAATTCCACTCATTTAGTTCCTTTAACAAATTTAGGTAAAGCAATAACTATATTAATTTCTGAAGATAATGAATTTCATATATTTCATTGCTTTTAATCTGGTATTCATTTTGTTTATTTATTTGAACACATAAATATTGGTACATGAAGGCACTAAATATAGATACTTCACATTTAATTCCATTTGTGTGTGCGTTGTGATACTCTCCGGGTGTCCAGACCGAAGCGACGGACGTTCGCTTTACCTCCTCTCAATTCGGTAAACAACACCCCGTCGCGAGAAGGCAGTGAGTAGGACTTTCCTGTCAGTGTCTGTATAGACGTGACGATGTGGTAGCATTTGTAGATGGGGGAACTGACTCTCCCCACCATCGACCGTGCTAAGGCATTTGAGAGCCTATACAAGAACTTGCGTTTTTATGATAATCTAAAAGAACATGACACTAATTACTCCTCAATGATTCATCAATACAGAAGTATATTTTATGTAGTTTTTTACAAATGAAAGGAAGCTGGCCTTTTGAAATCCGTGAAAATGTATAAAAATTATTTTCTTGTTCCTAAGTGTCTACGAGGCATAATTTAGTTTTAGTCAGCTATTGTTATAGGTAAATGAGCAAGCATAATACATCTACTAAACCTTATAACCAGTGACAGACAATTTCTTAAGAATTTAATAAGTCCTTTCATTTAAAAGCATAGACTCCATCTCAAGACAGATTATTTTGTAGATAGCCTAAATAGATATGATTAATAAAAAACAAATTGCATGAATTAAACAGATATTACTTTTATCAGAAAAGGGGTTTTGTGAAGATTTTAGTAATTTCATATAGTTGAAATCATGAGTCAATTGAAGCTAGACCACCATGAAAAACCTGAAAGTACTGAACGGCCGTTTCGTGGGATTCCTCAGTAGTGCGCATCCACGATCTCGCCTCATGAGATTCGAACACAGGACCTATCAGTGTCGCGCGCTAGCGCTTAACCACTTGACCGCTGATGGGCATCCAACGTTGTTAATGTCTAACTTCAAACAATACACGACATTAACTTTAAATAAATTTTATTGTTCACATGGATGCTATTCAATAAGTATAATATTATAAAATACAACCATGAATGCTATCTATTTATCTTTAGAATGTTAACATACTCATTATCACTAATTATTCATTATAAGTTTCTTTTAACCCATAACCCTTCCATCCAACTGTAATCATGCATATTTAAATGTCATCTAGACTCAACAATGAAGCATATAAACTTCTGGGCTAATAGAAACTATACTTAAATATTGAAATTCGTGAATATATTACAATTCAATATCTCTTTTAATATGTTCAGTTCACTTCAATTGGTAGACACTGTTCTTGTGTATTATAAAAGTTTACATACATTTATGCTTCATTGAAAAATCAACTAAATTTCTCCTAAACTGTTTATTTATACATTAATATATGTAATACACACAGATAGGGTGTAGCTTCAAAATGAAACAGTCTCCTTTTTCTTTTTTAGCCTTAAACGTCTGTTACAAGTTAACATACTTGAATAAACTTATAGAGATACATATATCCGTAACTGTTCTACCCGTTCGTCGAGTATGATACTTCTACTAGGAACAAAAAAATATATGGGCTAAGTACATGCTTCCTGAATGATAATGAAAATTCACTAAACATATTACACATGAAATTCGTCCATTACAAAAGCATTTTGGGGGGGGGCGGGGAGGGCAAAGATTTCAAACCATCTTGTCTTCTACCGGAAGTAACATTAGGTGTGAGTTATAAAAATAAACATAGAGATGATATACAAATAGAATGTTGTACATTTTTGTAAAAATTTAGTGATTGACATGTAATTGTACAACTTGAATATGTATACTGTAATGTGTATTAAAACTTTGAATAGCATAGAATATGATAATTCTCATACCATATCTCGCCAGGCGGGATCGTGGATGTACACTACTGAGAAGTCCCATAATAGGACGAAATGGCTGTCCAGTGCTTTCAGGTTTTCCATGGTAGTCTAGCTTCAATTGACCCATGATTTCAACTATATGAAATTAGTAAAAATCTCAACAAACCCCCTTTCTGATATCTTCTTTTGAAAGAATTTAACTCTTGAATTAGATTAAAAATAAAATAATTTTACGAATAAAAAATTGAACATTAACTATCTATCGACTCCATTCAAAATGTCGTGTGAAACCAATTAAAAGACAAGATCTATGGAAATCTTCTACACATTATACTGTACAATACCAACGATTGTACAATAATCCTAGTGGAACTAATTTCTAATTATTTTTTTTCATTTCATTTGAAGGTTTTTCAATCGAAGGTCCAAGTGAAGCAAGAATTGATTGTACAGATAATGGAGATGGATCAGCCACTGTAGCTTATTGGCCAACAGCTCCTGGTGAATATGCAGTTCACATTTTATGCAATGATGAAAATATACCAAAATCTCCCTTCATGGTTCCGATTGAACCAGATATGGGTAAATGTGATCCTGAAAGAGTAAGTCACACATAGAGTATATGATACTTTATTCAGTAACTAGTCGATAGAGCACAAAATTAATTGTATTAATTTAAATTCTGTGATAGGTTAAAGCACATGGACCAGGTATAATGCCAACTGGGAACGTCGCTGGTCAACCAACTGAATTTACAGTAGATATTAGAGATTCTGGTGGTCCTGCCCCATTAACAGTTGAATGCAGAGACAATGAAGGTGAACCAGTTGCATTGAAAGTTCGTGATAATGGCGATGGTACTTATACATGTAGCTATACACCTAAAGTTCCCAAAAAACACACAGTTCTTGTTTCCTACGGTGGAGTCAATATACCTAGAAGTCCTTTCAGAGTATGTTTTATTACTGATAAATTGAAATTTGAAGAAGTATTGTTTAGTTACAATATATTTACCTTATTCAAATTTACATAACTTGCAGCGAGATTATAGTTTATGGAGGAACCAATCGGATTTACGATGACACTCAGTGGATTTTGAGCAAAATTTATTCACTCATTTGGCTAAATACCATTTTGGCATTTTAGCTGATGTCAATTCGTGATAAAAACATTCAATCTAATTTCTAACCCTAACCATCAACTGTAAATCATAACCTTACCTATTTCGTTAACATCTCATTGAAATCCCCGTTACCAATACCTCTTTTATTATAATTTAGCCACTAGGATACCATAAATCTTTTTCTGATTAATATTTATATTCATTTATATGAAATCTATGTCAATAGTCCATGTAAACTGCATTCTCTTTTTTGAAAGTTATTGCTTCATCATTTAATAATGTGTTTTTGTTTCAAAAACTAGTTTTTACTTTAAACTGGTTTCAAATAAATTCAATTAGTATTGTTTGTTTGAATCTACCCATTGATGTTTAGGACTGCAAGTGGTCAATTTCTAATTGACATATGTGCATACTGTGTGTATTGCCTCGATACAGCCTTAATTCACAAGCATTGTAAGTAAAGATGGATAGTGACTAGTAGTGGAATGAAAGACGCGCGTTTCGTCCTATTTGGGACTGCTCAGTTGGATATACCTGCATCTCAGAGTTGATGTTCACTCTGGGACTCGAACACGTTATGCACTCAGTTATCCGCTCAGGCTATCAGGACTCAGTAGCTTAGTGGATAACGCGATGGCGTTTCTAGCTATAGGTACTGGGTTCGAGCCCCAGAGTGAATATCAACTCTGAGATGCAGGTACATCCAACTGACGAGTCGTGCGAAACGTACGTCCTGGATTCCACTGCTTGCCACTATCCATCTTTGGTTTCAACTAAATTTATGTGAGATTTAATTAAGTTAGTGAATTGATAATTAATTACTTAGTATTTTGTTGCTAACTACTTTTACTTTGTCGAGATTAAATATATTACTTGTCAAATGTACTTTAGATTACATAATCAAAGACATAAGAAAATATTTAATTCATTTATGTTAACAATTATTAAGTTTCATGCCAAATCGATTAATTATTATATACCTGTTTATTATCATTAGGTTGAAGTAGCTGAACCTAGTAATCCAGGAAAAGTACGCGTTTTTGGTCCAGGTGTAGAAAATGTTACTAGAGGTCAACCAACCTATTTCACAGTAGATTGTAAACAGGCTGGACATGGTAAGATTCCCCTATTACACTTTTGACTTAACTTTTATTTTTTAAAAGGTTTAATTTGACTAGAATTCTTGCCACAGTCTATTTTGTTTAAGTAACTGTTTGTGATTATTATATGTTTCCATATTATATAGTTGAAATCATGAGTCAATTGAAGCTAGACAACCATGGAAAACCTGGAAGCACTGCCTGACGGCCGTTTCGTCCTATTATGGGACGCCTCAGTAGTGCGCATCCACGATCCCTCACGAGAGTGAGATTCCGACCCAGGACCAATCATTCTCGCGCGTGAGCGCTTAACCACTAGACCACTTATCCGGCATCCACCGGTGTTAATGTCTAACTTCAACCAATGCACAATATTTAGCAACCATTCACCGATGTCTTCAGTGAGTTGATATCTCACAACATGTAGGAAGTTTTGTTATCGAATCCCGGGTGATGTTTATGGCTCATTCATATTTATAGATTCCCTGATTAACCAAAACACGGAGGCGGTGACCTTGGCTTGACGAATAATCCATTGGACTATAAAATCCGACCGACAAGTGTCTATCATATTGTGACCTTCAGTTAATATGTGATATGTTCGATGTTATTCGATATATGAAGTTGAATTCCATTGTGAACTGATAGCCAAAAGATATCTAACAAGCCCAGTTATGTTTGTTCGAAAAATAATAATAAGCCCCTTAAAGTGTTGTACGACGTTGACCAAAATTATAGATCTACTTATATATCTACTTTGTAAATAATTTTTGTTATTTATTTGAACATATAAGCATTGGTGCAGAGAGACATCTGAATAAACAAGGGCTACATAATAAAAATGAGATTGTGAAGAGATAGTGAAATGAAAATTAATATAATAAAAAAGTACAAAAGTGAGCATAAATCAGTGTGTGAGAGTGACAACAAAAAAGTAATGATAAATGGAGTTAAGTTAGGAAAAATACGACTTCAGGGAATTTTTTCAGTCAAAGAAGTTACACTTACTTACTCTAAAGTAAAAGAAAGTTACAACAATATCTCTACTGACTACTATTCTGAAGCATGCCTGATAACGACTCCAGCTAGTGTGTTGCACCATCTCTAGGACGCTAACAGGAAAGTCTTGAACGACGGACAGAAGCCATTCCTGCACAGCTTTCTTTCATACCACTACACCATATCATACACTGACCACCTCTTCACCTTCTCCAACCAGTCCCAGCGTCGGCAAAAGATGCACGATGTGGAGTTCACTGGGACGACATTCGTAGGATATGTTCAGGCCACCGAATTATGTGTTTCAAGATAATGACACCAGTTGAGTTTTTGTGACTGTGTCTAAAAACAAAGTCCCCAAACCTCTGAATTACTAACATATTGGTTCCAGTGAACATTAGCAACCGAGACAAAGGAATCGCTTAACATCATCGACTCGAAGAGGTCATGTTTCACAAACATAGAGTAAAACTGCTCTCACTGATGCATTGTAGACCCTACCTTTTACAGTCGGACTAACATCACGAAGAAGCCAAAAATGGCCCAAATCAGCATATGCCGCTCTGGCTTTCACTGCACGTGAATTGATATCAACACTCACGCCACCACCAGCATTTATGCAGCTACCCAGATACACGAACTTCGTGGCTACTTCTGTCTGCTCGCTACCCACAGTGAGTGCAGGATTAGGGTCCTGCCAGTCTTGTAAAAGTACTTTGCACTTCGAAGGTGCAAAGAGCATACCATACCTATGGACATTAATTGCGAACTGATTAGGTGCGGATTGCGTGGCTTGGGTATGGGTATCATAACACAGTCAGGCAATATCATCCGTATACTCATGGTCGAGAAATGTTTCTCCACGCAGCAGATCCATAACACCATTACCTACATCCATCAGATCTGTTTCCAGAACGTCGTCGATAGCAAAGTTGAAGAGGAATGGTGAGATTAGGCAACCCTGTTTAACCACAGTGCTTGAAGGGAACAATGGAGAGAGCTGGTTGCATTCCCTTACTCGGCCTGAGGTGTTTGTATATAGGGCTTTCAAGATGTTATTGAAATTCTCAGGCGAACCCCTCTTCAATAGACAGTCCTAGAGAACAGTCCTATTCAACGAATCGAAGGCGGGACTGATGTCAAGAAACACTACAATTGTTGGTCTTTAAAGGTTGGTTTAAAATTTGTATTGTGCGATATTATTCAACTTTTGGACAGTCATTAACATGGGATCGTTCAGATAGGACAGAGTTCCCACCACATCCGAATTGTTGTAGAAATCGAAGAACAAAGTGATATACAAAATGGAAATAAAGGAATAGATAGGTGACACAGTGTAAAGTAAAAAACGAGTATTAACAAGTAGTTTTGAGTATGAGTTGCAAGAATAGAAATTCAAGCGTGGATAAATTTTTCAGTTGTAGTCGTCATTCAGTTTTTGTGTGGGATGAGATTCTGTCTGGGCGCACAAATTGAAACAGGTGGTTTTCTTAGGAGACCACTCTCCGAGTCTTTGACCTAGAGGAGATGTAGTTTCATGGTAGTCGTTGACCAACAATAAGTCCATACACCATCGGTTCCATTAGGATCCAGAAGGTAATGTGCACTATTGGCTTAGGAACATGGTTTTCCAACTCTCCTGAATGGATACTCCGTACCCACCAACCCAGTTAAAGCACTGAACATTTGCTTTTCGTCCTCTCGATTTTGTAAACAACACCCTAGCCTCGAGGAGGCAATGAGTAGGGATTGCTTAACAGTGGCCTTCCCTCTGAGCGTATGAGAGTATTTCGAGAGAAAGAGAGGACTCTCCTCACCCTAAGACGTACCAGGGTATTTGGGGGCTGCTTAATGGAAGTCAGTAATAAAAAAGATTTTTATCACTATGGGGTTGTGGAGATTGTTAAGTTTTTGATTGAAATCAGTGACCAGCGGAACCAATGTGTATCAATGTGTGTAGAGACAGGTATCTACCTCAAACAATGGAAGATGGTTACGAGATTTCGTAGATTGGTTTAAGTTAGGCATTATAACCGATGGATACTGACTCAGTGGTCTAGAGGTTAAGCGTTCAAACGAGAGACCGAAGGTCCCAGGTTCCATTCCCGCGTGTGGGATCATGGCTGCACATTCTTGAGGAATCCTATCCTAGGACGAAATGGCCATCCAGTGTTTCTGGGTTTTCAGTGGTGGTCTAACATCAGTCGATTCATAATCCCAATCAAAAAGGATTCTTTTGTAATTTAGTAATAAGGCCATTCATTGTTGACACTACTGTTAGATTATCATTGATAAATGAATCAAAGAACTTGGCTTAATATTACATAAATCAGGGAAATTCTGTTACGAATGTGTATTAACTTTACCTATTGCTAATGATGTTAATGATAGTAACAATACAACTTGGTGATGAGTCGCAGGTTTATGTACATTTTTGAGTTACGCTTTTATTTAAACACATATGATAATACTTAGATTCCGAGATGTGTTCAGGTGAAACCACGTTTTGATTCAAAGCCTAGAATTGGCAGTCCACTTTAAAGCTGTCACGCCAAATCATGAAATGCTATCGTCTTTTAATAACCTTCAATGATATTCCATTCTTTTTGTTTTTAAATTAAGGTAATGTTGGGATCAGTGTCACCGATGAAGCTGGACGTGATGTTGCTATGGATACACAGGATATGAGAGATGGAACATTTAAAGTTGCTTATACAGCTAATACACCAGGACCATATTATACTGTACAAGTATTTTTCAATAATCAAGAAGTTCCACGTAGTCCATTTAAAGTACCTGTTAAACCAAATATCGATATGTCGAAAATTCATGTTGAAAATCTTGAACCAAGTAATTTATGCTAAAGTTTGTTTTAATTTATATTGATGCTTTAATAGTGTCGTATTATTTCGTGGTGTAATTTTCCTTCTTTGACTACTACTATGCATGGTTTTTTACTAAAATACTAAACTCTCTTAATTATTAAGCCAATAAATATATTAATTATAGAAGGGGTTTTGTGGAGATTTAGTATTTATCAATGTTGAAAGCGTGAGTCAATTGAAGCTAGACAACCATGGAAAACCTGGAAACACTGGACGGCCGTTTCGTCCTATTGTGGGACTCCTCAGCAGTGCGCATCCACGAACCTGCTCTCGTGAGATTCGAACCCAGGACCTACCAGTCTCGAGCCGAAGCCCTTAACCGACAGACCACTGAGCTAGCATCCAACGGTGTTAATGTCTAACTTCAACTGATCCACGAAGTTGAGCAACCATTCACCAATTGTCTTCAATTGACTCACGCTTTCAACAATAAATATATGAAAATATACCTGTTTCTGTTTGCATCTCACTGTTGTATTATTCTTATAAATAATATGAATTTCTGCATTTTTCTTATATGCAAGTCACCATGACTGAACGAATTCACTATGAGATCTGAGGATCCTGGATTCTGTTCTTGACATAGTTGAAGGTATTCACTGTTGATGATTTTTAAACTATCTATCCAGTACTCTCTGGTTTCTAATGTCTCTTTAGCTATTCTAACTTACACTATCAATTCACTTAATCAATAAGAAATAATACATCGTTAAAACTAGGACTATCAATGAAAACATGACTGAACTAAAGAATTCTAAACTACAAATGTAAATACTGATCCTACCATAAGAAATAATGATACTGTACATATATATGGTTTAGTTTATGCTAAACTAAATAGTAGTTTTTGATAACACTGCAATGTACTAAAGAGAATTCAATTAAGTAATTCATAGAAACAATGTTACTTAGTCCCACTGTTTCCAATACTTCTAATCAATAAAAGAATTATCAACTGGTTTTATTTCCACAGTGAAACATCAATTTTGTGATTAAAGGTCAGTAAGATTGTAATTTATGGACGACCTTTAGATGACACTAAAGTGGCATTGAGAATATCTACTTACTTACTAAGGCTAAATGTGTTTTATAAAATTGTGTAAAGAATAAGGATTATGGTTTACAGTTAATGATTAGGGTTAGGAATTAGATTTTTTGTTTTCATCACGAACTGATAGCTAAAATATCAAAATACTTTTAAACCAAATGGATGAATGAATTTTGCGCCAAAATCTAATACCTATTATCATAAATCTGATTGGTTCATCCATAAATTATAGTCTTGCCAAAAAAGCTATAACCTTTGTAATAATGAAGAGGTATATGAATGAGGAAACGATAGCAGTTCTAATCATCAACTTTATATTAAAATCTTTCCATCATCAATTTTAATTCGAAATAACCTTGATAAATATAAACAGACTAAATTATTTTGTACATTAAAGAGAAAGCGTTAGAAACATAATGGATTTCTTAGCTATAAAGATGTTACCTATGAAATGCTCTCTAAGATGCTTATTCATCTATAACTTATGTTTTTCTTGAAATGATTCCTCTTTTGGATGCAATGAACATAATAATCCTATAGAATTACCCTATTAAATGCATACACATAATGCTTAGAACGTATAAGTCAATATTAAAAAAAGACTGAATCTCAATAAGACATAGAACATCTACGTTTTACTAATTATCTAATAACTTACCCGATATCTACAAAGATTTTCTTTATTATACAATCAGACTTTATCGAAATCACGAATCTATCTAAATTAACTAACTATCGAAAATATATAAGCACTGGACAGCCGTTTCATCTTGTTGTGAGATTCTTCAGTAATGTGTATCGATGACTCCAAACTCCGAAATGGAACTCTTAAGCCTCGATTTCACACCCAAACGCTTCATTTTTAGGCCACTGAGCCGGGATTCAGTGGTGTATAAATCTAACTTCAATTGATCCAAGACAGTGAGCTAACATTTTGCATTGTCTTCGGCAGGTATCTTCCTCACACTCAACATCGTTGGACTCCATTGGTCACGTCTTCTCACTAGAACTCCGGAAATTTCCTCTCGGAGCTAGTCACTAGTAAGACCGGAGATTCGCCGGGTCCAGATTCCAGGATGCGCACTGCTAAAGAGTCCCTTGATAGGAGGAAATGCCCGTCCAGTTACTAACAAGTTATCAATGGTTGTCTTAGATCGGTTCATGATTCCAATAAAATTCAGGAATCTCCACAACCCTATACTCACATATAATCACGTGTTCTGGATAAACCATATTGTTCTCATGACTTTATTCACTTTATACACTGTCCAATATTCTATAGACAACTTTCATCACTTCGCTAAAATCCCTTCAATATTAATACATCATTTAAACGTTTTCAAGGAAGTAGTGAAAGTACAAACTCCATGAATGAATCCCACAGAATATTAGGAAAATCTTTTATAAACTAATTGAGTCAAAATGTTTCTTCGAGTAGGTAAAAGTGGACTGTGCTTAATGACTGACGTTTCAAATAGATAGTATACAGGAAAATAAATATCTTCTATTGTTTCTTCAAAATGTTCAGTATTTCATGATATACATTTTTATTCAGTATTTATGTTTTCATAATTATCCACCCCAGATGATGGAATAGGGTTGCTCAATGTTGTGAAGCGACTGAAGTTAGGGATATAAACCATTGAATCCAATCTCAGTGGCCTAGAAATTAAGTGTGAGATATAAGGTTTTGGGTCCCCTAGTATGGACACTACTAAAGAGCCCCATACTAAACCGAAACACCTGTTAGTGATTCTTGATTTTCTATAACTGTTTAACCAAGATCAGCCCATTAGGTTTATTATAAAATAGAACAATCTCCAGAAAACATCTTTACAAATAATATCCCATAATTCTTGTCTTATGAACATAAGTTTTGTAAAAAGATAGTATTACTGTTACTGGAATACACCATTGAAATATTCCGCAACTACATAGTCAAATAAGTTAGTTCAATGGAAATTGATAGTTCACAGGCTTTTTAAACAGTGAATATATATATTACTTCCAGTATAATTTTAATATACGAAATAAGTTTGCTATCTTTATTTCACAAATCAGATATCACTACTGGTGTACCAACGGAGTTTGATGTAATAACGGCAGGTGCAGGCCCACCAAATAATAGTAAACCGAAACCAACTGTAACAGTAAAATCTCCAAACGGTATGCGTGTACCATGCACTATAGCTGAAAGCGTAGATGGATATACACCTTCCTTTACACCAACTGTTGTTGGGCCTCATACTGTTGCTGTTGAAGTTGGAGGTGTACCAGTCAAAGGTAGTCCATTTCGTACAAACGCTATTCCACCTGCTGCAGTACAGGAGCCTATCTATCCAAAAGATTTTGGACGTCAGCAGGCTACTTCAACACCTATTTCTGGACCTGAAGCAGCAGCTTTGGTCCGCGCTTATGGTGACGGACTTTATCGTGCAACAGCTGGAAAGCAGGCGAAATTCACAATCGATAGTCAAGATGCTCCACCTGCTCCACTAAGCGTCACAATTGAAGGACCTGCAGAAGCTAAAATAAATTATAATGATAACGGCGATGGAACATGTGGCGTAGATTATTTACCAACTGAACCAGGACCATATATTGTAAATGTTTTATACAAAGATACACATATTAAAGGAAGTCCATTCCCTGTAAGAGTAGCTCCACTTGGAAGAGAACATATCGATGTATCCCGAGTACATGCCTACGGTCCTGGATTACAGCCAACTGGTAGGCAAAATCAACAATGAATGCTACAAATTTCCAATTCGCATGACAGATTTCTTTAAATATAGATTTGAATAATCTAGCATGGTTTCGCTACGTAAATCTCTTTAATTAAGTTTACCTATAAAAAGATCTGACGTTGATGTTGCATGACAAAGAACTTTCAAGAAATCAATCAGCATGTACTTTTTATCCATAAAACATGTTTGTCATTCTAGATGTGAAAAATATGCTCGTTTTAATAATTTTCTGAATGTTTGAACGATTATTAAACCAGTTTCTACTTTGACGATTTTTTTTCAAATATCGTCTTTTATTATTTCATCTTAAAGGTGTTTTCAAAGAATCATTTGCTAAATTCACAGTTGATGCTAAAGCAGTTGATCCACAAAGTAGAGGAATAGTTAAAGCTATTGTGGTTAGTCCAAATAAACAAAGAACAGCATGCTTAATACAAAATAATGGCGATGGAACATACAAATGCAGTTATTCTCCAATAGATGATGGTAAGTTTATAAAAGATTTTTTGATTAGTAAACTATATTTTCGTTAATTTACATTGTAATCATAAGAGGTTTTTATGGAGGTTTCAGTATTTTCATAGTTGAAATCATGAGTCAATTGAAGCTAGACCACTAAGGAAAACGTGAAAGAACTGGATGGCCGTTTCGTCCTATTGTGGGACTCCTCAGACGTGCGCATTCACGATCCCGCACGCGAGTGAGATTCGAACCCATGACCTATCAGTCTCGCGCATGAGCGCTTAACCACTAGACCACTGAGCTGGTCAGCATCCAACGGTGTTAATGTCTAACTTCAACTTATCCACAAAATTGAGCAACCATTCATCAATGTCTTTAGTGAGTTGATATCTCACAACAGACCTGGTTGAACTCCACTGATCACTGCTTCTCACTAGAACTCCAGGAAATATCTCTTGAAGTCAGTCACTAGTGAGCATATAATTATAATCAGAATTGGTTTATGTGGAGATTTCAGTATTTTCATAGTTGAAATCATGAGTCCTATAAAAATAGTTTCTATGATTATAACCTTTAAGAATAAATCGATAAATTCTATGTACTTCTACTATGAACTCGGACTTTTAAAAACTTCGTTGAAACATGATGAGGAATATCTTCCGGTATATCATATAGATAACATCCTGTTAACAAAGAGCCTTCTAATTTTCACAAAAGTATAGTTTTGTTTTAAATGTTACCTGGAAAAGCAAAAAAACTTAAAATAATAGATAAATGTTTTGGCTTGATGCATAATGTATTTGTTAATGTTAGATTTAAAACCACAACTTGTTTACAAAAATATTTGCCCATGATTTCCGTTTATTATTAATAACAAATTAAAACTAATGCATTCCAAATCATTGAAATCCATGCAAAAATAGACATTCAATGTTCCTCACTTTATCTTCTTACAGGCTTACATCACGTTGAGGTTACCTATGATGGTGCACCAGTACCTGGTAGTCCCTTCCCAGTAAATGTTGCTCCTGGATGTGATCCAACAAGAGTAAGAGCTTACGGTCCAGGCTTAGAAGGAGGGTTCACTCATGAGCCACAAAGATTTACGGTTGACTTAGATGGTGCGGGTCAAGGTGCCCTTGGGTTAGCTTTAGAAGGGCCAGCTGACGCTCAAATACAGTGTCAAGATAATAAAGATGGAACATGTACAGTGGACTACTTACCAACACGGGCAGGAACATATGATATCTTCGTTAAATTTAACGACATGAATATTCCAGGCAGGTTGAACTATTTTTCTACAGGAATTTTTATGACACAACTACTTATAAACGAGTATTTGATTTGGATTAAACAGTGTTTATAATATTTGAGTTTCGCATAGTCGAATGCGAGTTTGTTTTCCACCACGATGATACGTTTAAAGTACAGTTGATGCCCAAAAAATATTATCTGACCTTAGATTTGGCTGTGTTTAGTATTTGGGTGTATATACAAGTGCATTGAACTCTCCAACATTGATTATTTTTCAATTCTATCAACAGTGACATGATATTACTTGAGTACACAACTGAATGGGAAGTGGGAGACGCAAGATAATGATACATTAATGATGACTGCTTATACAGTTAGTTTTGACTAAAAACAAGCGGTGTTCCGTCAAAAGAACTAAAATATAATCCCTGGCATCCATTCTTTTTAAAAAACTAGCTCCACTCTTACCCAGAATAATCACATTAGTAACTATAATCTGGGAATGTGGATTAGAATCATCTAGTTAGCTCCATGGTATCAGAGGACCTTGCTTGATTATTGTGATCATTAGGCTTATCCTAGACTTCCTAATAGGTAGTGCGCAATCTACAATCCATTGGATTGTAGACAAGATATAATTGCATCTTACTCGGACTGAAACTATTAGCATGTTTGGATATACTTATGCATATAATTTTTACATATAAATTTATCTGTAATCCGTTGTAAAATTTCATTCAATGAGGACTGTATTAGATGGTTACAAATAAATTTCATATTTAGGAGTTACACCAAAGTATAAACCCTCAGCAATCTACTGGATGGTTCTGTAGATGAGTAATAGAAAATTAATAGTTCTTGAATGGTCGAAAAAATCAGCAATAACCCCTTGATATGTGCTTTCCTCTCAATGGTACTTATCATTAAAGCTACTCTTTACTAGATTTCATATTTTCATTGTGTTCCCACTTTAACTGATACACGTAATCAGTAGTCATTCCTTAATGAACTAGTGAATTATAGGAGAGTAATTAGCTAGGTAAATAATCAAACAGAAGTTCATTTGGTTCTCAGATTATAGCATATATTACTTAGCATTGCCTAACCATTTAAAGACCAATAAATAATCACACAGGCAACAAATGGGAAATATAAGTGATCGAACCAATTGTTATTTCCACTTAATGAATCTTCGTTCGTAAAGCCTAATCGCGAATTTACTACTAACAAAACTCCATTTATTTATTTTTTTTCAACAGGTAGTCCATTTCAAGTTCCCATACGAGATGTGGTTGACCCGACTCGTGTTCGTTGTTATGGTCCAGGTCTAGAGCCTAGAGGAGCACGAGCCCAACAACCAGCTCAGTTTACTGTTGATGCTTCACAGGCAGGAGATGCGCCTATCCAAGTAATTATTCAGAGTTATCTAATAACTTTTCTTAAAATTCGTAAATACATTAGGATTTCTGTTACTTAATATACTGCCGTGTTAAAATTCATCCACTTTACGTAGAGTAACTAGTCATAGGTTATAAGAATTTACTTATTACTTTAATAAGATTGGTCACGATCCCATATGAACCAATAAAGTTGAAACACACGGTAAGAGGGGCACAGATATACATAGTTGTTTGGAAGTAAATGTTTATCATATATAGTGAAGGCCTCTAATAAGTAGAAAAGGAGACAATTGGTAAGTAATCTGATAAACAACAAACTAAGCTTCTTTCTTAATCTAATTTTCACTATCTATCAAATCCTAACAAATATACAAATATTCGTTGGTCTATAATTTATCAGAAGGGGTTTTTGTGGAGACTTAGTATTTTCATAGTTGAAAGCGTGAATCAATTGAAGCTAGACCACCAGGGAAAACCTGGAAGCACTGGACGGCCGTTTCGTCCTATTGTGGGACACCGTTGGATGCCGGCTCGGTGGTCTAGTGGTTAAGTGCTCGCGCGCAAGACTGACTGGTCCTGGGTTAGAATCTCGCGAGACGAGATCGTGGATGCACACTGCTAAAGAGTCCCGCAATAGGCCGAAACTGCCGTCCAGTGCTTCAAGGTTTTCCTTGGTGGTCTAGCTTCAGTTGACTCACTCTTTCAACTATAATTTGTCACTTATGTACGATTGTACAGCTTTAAAAATGAACCCGATGAAAATGGTTCCGTCGCTGAATAAATTGTTTTATGACATACCAAACCAGAAAGAATGCTCTGATGACTACTCACACTTCAGGCTAGACTACATACAGTAGATTCTAATCCGCGACCCCCTTTTATATATGATTTATCCTGTACTATTCCTGTGAAGTACTCTTGAATGTGCTACATCTCTCTTGATTCATCTTATATCGGTATAAATATTAACGTGACCTTATTCTATCGATTAAATCGATTATCAACTCTTGGATGTACTTATGTCTAGTTGATGAGTTCAAATAAGGTCAAAACCTGAATTCTGGATTCCACTCCTAACTATATTTTATCCATTCTAAACTTGTGACGTGATGGCTATATCGAGACATTCCGCACAGAATGCACATATCTCAACTAAGATTGATCAGAATTCAGTCAATAAAGGGATAATTCAAATGATAAGAAATTACGCAATTCCTTATTATAATATCTTCGGTGATAAGATTGCTATGAGTTTCGATACTAGTGATAGTAAATCTTGCCTATAAACATCAGTTACAGTACTGCATATTACAAAATGTATACTAAATATAGTAGTATGGACATTGAATTATCATTCATATCGAGCCTACAAGAAAGCAAAACAATAATTGTATCATACTACTTGACATTTTTTCAACCAATGAAAATAAATATTTGGCACATTTTATCATAGGAAAGAATTCTATCACACGTAAACTGTAATCAATAGGCAATGAATAGAATGCTGCCTACAGTCTTAAAACAAAAGGTCAGGCTCTTTGTGTAGGCGGTAAAAATAAGACTCGAAAATACGTGTGAAACGAACGGATTATTGTTCAACGTGCTTTAAAATTGTGATTTCTTCCCATAAAGAGTTTCGCTTATTTATGTACATACTTTGCGCTATAAATCAACCAAAAGACAGGAAGTTGCAATTTTTGGCTTTTTAATTGTTGATACTTAACACACAATACGTTTTAAATGAAATTCATGCTATTGTAAACCCTTTTAAAGTGTGAGTTTCCCATCCCTTTGTTGATAAATCCCAACGTACATGAAACCTAGGTTCAGGTCATCTTGTTGACTGACTCCAAATATATTACATTTGATGTCAGTCTAAGAAGGAAGGATAACAATCTAGTTTACACAGTACTCAATCACATGTTTAGCCTACTGGGTTTACTTTTCATTAATAATTACACTCAACATAAAATTTATTTCAAATGGTTCTTATGGAAAATGCAAGTCTTCGTTTATGTTAGAACAGGACTTAACACTAGATCTTTACCACTATATTCAGAATTATTTGTGCTTAGATAAATATGTCGATATCAAAAGATGTCCGTCGAAACTGTTTCTTGAATTATATTATATTATTTACGAAAATGAAATATCAGACGAAATCTACATAAGCTATTTATGGCTATTTAGTTTCAGGTTAGTTCGCACTAGAGTTGTATCATTTAGTAATTGAGGCCCAGACAGTGTTCATTGATACAACGAGTATTAGTCAAATAATAAGGGTCAGGAAAATAATAAACAAAGTGTATATGATTAAATTAATGGTTTCTCATGTGTAAGACAATATAATCGGTCCTGAAAGATAAAAATTATATTTATGCATAAAAAGTATTTAGTGGGTGCACTTCAGACAAGAGCATAATAATAGATTGTTCATCTATGTAAAAATGGCTAAATTTTCCTTAGTTTATTGATAAATTTACTACACAGCATCCCACTCTTATGTATTCTTACTTTTAATCCTACAAATGCCAAAATAATATTTGCTCACTTACTAATCAACTGTTTCTTCATTTTTTTTATTTATACAACTCAGGTCGCAACAGTTGATCGTGTTGGAAGAACAGCACCGGCACATGTTGTTCCACGGCCAAATCAACCAGGTGTTTATGATGTGACATATGTTCCAGATACTGATGGTCCATGTCAAATTGAAGTTAAACAAGCAGGAAATCATGTAGCTCGATCACCATTCACGCAACATGTCTTACCAGCTTTTGAACCACAACGTGTGCGTGTAACAGGTGAAGGCGTACATCCAACTCGTCCATTAGGACTTCCAGCTACTCAACCGACTTCTTTCCAAGTAGATACACGAGATGCAGGTCTCGGAGACCTAGAATTATCAGTAATGGTAAGTCCACATAGTACAACTTACTAGTTCACAAAAGCAATATCTAGACTAAAGATTATATATTCATATTAAGATGGTATTTAAGACATTCATATTTAGAAAAGTTGAGAATCATGATTAACGTAGCAACTGTCCATTTCTGTAAGCTACTTAAAGCTAATATATGATAGTATGTATTGTTTTGGTTAATGAAGTTATGAAGTTATTAATAATATCAATACATTTTTACTAATTGACGATAAAAATAAGTGACAGTCAACCATAACTATTGCAAAAGATATTCAGTCCCAACTTTGGTAGTAAACAGTTTAGGTCTTTGGAACGACATGATATAGAAGTTAAATCCATTCAATCAGATACTGAACTGAAACCTTGGTGAAAATCCATTCATAATTCTTTTGGTAACAAGAAGAAGAGAGCATACATATATAACTTCATGGGCGATTAGATAGTTAAATTAACCCATTGAGTCACTGAATAAAGGTAAGGAGAATTCAACGAAGGAAATTTTCTTTTTGACGAAATCATTTACTTATGCTATACATTCGTATTTATAGTTGTATGGTAAATATATATCTATAGAAAGATTATTAAACAAAGAGAATCAAAGTCCATCCTCTTGCTAGATGTCTGAATGGGAATTTCCATTGGATAATCTACCTTTAATTTGTCTTTCTGGGTTAATCATATATATGAATAGTCTACTGGACATATATGTGAATGTTTGTTCGAAAAATAAAGAAGATAATCACATTGAGATTACATTTAGAAATCTCATAGTTAGTTGTTAAACATGATGAGAACCGATTTGACTTTGTTATCTTCCTTTTAATGTCAAATTTGAGGGGAAAATCAATTAAAGTTTTCGTCAGATCTTTCACTCCCGAATGGATTCAACTCCTGATGTTCGAATTGTGTCAATGTGATTCGTTAGGAAAATCAAACAAACAAGATTGTTGACTCAGTAATGTCAAGCTTAAAAATTGCTCTTGAATAAAGGATAAATCACATATGAAGTCTAACTACTACACATATTCAAGTTCCTGAATTCATTCATTAGTAGTTGTGTTCTCTTTATCACCTAAATAAACAGTTGATATATATATTTTTTTAATTTTATCAACTGACCAACCAGGTTATTAATTACCAATCTGAATTGAGAAAACTTAAAATTCTTTGAAATATTAATTATTTTCTCGACATAGGTTATCATTACAATTGATTGATCACTGGGTGGTGATCATTGTCATGCGTGTCAAGTCCTTCTTAGTGCTGATAGAATGCTATCGATCAAGTTGCGATGTGGCCACTAGTCTAGGTGGCTCGACACTGCGTGCCCTATGTTGAGTTAATATAGTGATTGGAGGTGATCACCAGGAAACCCTGGACCTGGGTTTCGTGTTACTGGGCACTCGTCAGCAAGGTATACCTGTAATCTTAAAGGAACTGGTGCTCCCTGACGGATTCGATTCCGTGGTAACGTCTCTGACTGTGAAGCTAGGTCACACGGGGTTGAATCCGTCAGGGAGCACCAGTTCCCTCAAGATTACAGGTGCACCTTGCTGACGAGTGCCAAGTAGCACGAAACCCGGGTCCAGGGTTTCCTGTTGACCACCTCCAACCACCATCTTATAGGTTATCATTACTTTTGTGTAAATGTACTACGTTTATATAGTGAGGTTTCAATTGTCAAGTACTATATAGAGACATATGAAAATTATGTATTTCAGTTGATAATTTGATTAAGTCGAATAAACTTTCACAATAGACAAAAGATTATACGCTGTTGTGATTCAAGAGCATCATGGTTGTTACGAAACCTGAAAATACTCACCTCAATCCCTCGTAGATCATATGTGAGCACTGATGGAGAACTCTAAGTTTGAACGAAACAAGTATTCAATGTTTGATATTTTGTAGTAGTTTTATTTTTCATTTATACTATAAATTACAATTTCTATTCATTAAAAAAATATCAACTTTGAATTTAACGGGTTTTTTTAAAAAAAATCTATTTCTCATTCATATGACCTAATGCGTATTTATCAAACGAATGGTAATCATCAATATTGTGTATCCTTGTTGTCTCATTTACTCACTACACAACATATGTTTTGTTGTTACTGTTTTATCCATTATTATTATTATTATTATGGTTGTTGTTATTATAACCCTTTTAAAGAATGATATTGAACCGATTAAAGCAGGTTTAACTATACATAAAACTTCTGATAAACATCATCCTCCATTATCATAGAATTAGAACAGTTGAATTATTAGTGTCACCTACTTCATTTTGATTTCATCCTTTTACCTTCCTTATTCATTAGCTGGTTAAATTATTCCTCAATTATTGTATTTTTCTTTAAGTGATTTAGGATATTCGATGTGATAGTTGTGTGTTATATAATGACATTGAATAATTAGTAATACTTCCTGTTTGTTTATTACGTCACAGTAATGTTTGGTACTTTTCTTATGTATGTATGTTTCTCTATTTTGTAGATTTTCCAATAATCTCCATTTGAGATCATGTAATATAGTTGATCTGATTGAAATAGATGAATAATTTTACTGTCTCTGAATCAACTTTTCAAAAAATGTACTTCATCATTATACTTTATATAGATGATAGCATCCTAATAGAAGAATAGCATTTCTGTATGTTTAGGACTTTTCAAATGAGTGTATTATCATCCAAGTGTTGATAGTTCCACTAAGAATTGAATCCAGTACCGATCCCTCCGAATCTCAGGTCATTGTTTATAGGGCTACTAAATAATGATAGACACCAACATGTTTAAAGAGTATACATGTCAATATAGATAGTGATCAAACCGACAATGAATATCAATAAGAATACAGTAGAAATCCTTACAACTAATAATTAAGGTCATTTTAAAGCACAAATTTCACAAAACCAGTTATACAACATATCAATAATAATATTTTTACTATGAAAATGATTCTACAGAGTAGACAGAAATGAACGGAAAATGTCATCTGAATATTTGCAAACAGATCAAGAGAGATTAACGAATATCAAAATAAAAAAGTCCAGGGAGTACAGGATGATAATGTGGTGTATAGTGAACCAATTTAAGGATTTGAGATTATCGACTAACTGGTATTTCGTTTCCTATAAGATTTAATGTACTCAAGGCTCTATGCTATTTTGGACTTAAGTAGTTTGTTAGTGGAAAGTGATAAATAGGCATACAAATGGCGCCTTATTTATTTACAGTTTACCTACCAATTTCATCTTATAATAAACACTGCTTTCAAATATATATCTTCTGTTTAATGCTAGAAGTTGGGATAAGATGTATGTTCTTCATCAACATCTTAGGAAACTAAAATATAGGTTTATACAAATAGAAGATCCAAGCTAGTGATATTGGATTACGCTTGAAAAATGAAAGACTACTTGATAGGTATTCAAGCTGTGCATTCTACCGTAAAATGTATTATATAAGTAGAACTGTTGTAATGGGGAGGATATTGTGTTTGACCTTTCGGAACTATCTTAAGGAGAACTATTGTTTATACTTTTTATCGTTTAACTATTAGACACTTGACCAATTGTAATCAAATATTATCCTGGTTGTAAGCTTTCGTTTGACGCTTAAAAAACTACTCTCTATTTTACCTTACGTCAGTTATCGTAATTTAGTTATGGATCTATTACTTAGTTCTCGTTCACGTATTTAAATAGATGTATGGTGTGGGATGCAACCCGTTATCTTACTAGTTTGAGTTAAGAGTTAAACTGTACGATAGAAGTCTGCCCGCTGTGTTCTTGTTCTATTCTGACTGTCGGGCTAAAAGTGTGGAAAATTGTATCCTAAGTTTATAAACCTTAAATAATGACCTCAGTCATAACCTCGCTGTAATTAAGTCATTGATTGACAATTTAGGTGGACCAATTACGAGTCTGACTAGAAGGATAACATAACTATTGCTATAATTATGACCCAATCAGGTAGCCCCGGAAAATCAAATATGCATCTGCTGTTTATTGCGTCATACACTGAACAGCTATTAGACAAGATAAAAGGAACGTTTAATGCTTGTTGATTTTCCATATTTGACTAGTGATGACATATAAACGCAATGAAGATTATATTATATAAAAATAGGATATTACTGACTAATATAAATCAAAGTCACCTTTACTGACTAAAGATTATTCATTGACAAACGGAAAAAAATTTCAACAACAGGATAAACAATCCATTTAGCTAGAATACAGACATAGAAAGGACGATAACATAATGAGTGTCCATAAACTAATCCTGAAATGGTAAAATACTTATTCTTTGGAATCATTTTCATAATTCTCATGTGTTATCTACGCGATGGTGTTTGAAACGAACGGTACCGGGTTCTATTCCCGGAGTGAATAACAACTCTGAAACACAGGCACAACCAGCTGACAAAGACCAGTTAGGAGGAAATGCACGTCCCGAATTCCACTGTTAGACACGGTTGGTGTTGATGGTGCTATTATAGAAAAAGTGATATAAAACAGTACAATGCAGTCTCTATAATCAGTGTTGTAAATCTCAATTTTAATGAGTAATCTTCATCCATTGCTTGTGACTGACAACTATCTTATAACACTGGACGGCCGTTTCGTCCTATTATGGGACTCCTCAGCAGTCCCATAATAGGACGAAACGGCCGTCCAGTGTTTCCAGGTTTTCCATGGTGGTCTAGCTTCAATTGACTCATGCTTTAAAACTATGAAAAATACTAAATCTCCACAAAACCCCCTCTGATAATTAACTATCTTATACTCAACATGATTGAATTCCACTAGTCACGGCTTATTGGTAGAGCTCCGGGAATTTTCCCTCAAAGCTAGTCACTGGTAAGTACATGATAATTATCAAAATAGCAGCAAATTACAAAACCAGACTAATTATTGGAACTGAATTTTGAATTTCGGAAACTGACATCTGCATTCTCAGAATAAGTGATGAATGCTACATTCGACGTCAAGAACTGACGAACTATAAACCTATGTTTTAAATCAAGAACCAATGACTTTCTTGTTTCCACGTACATATATTTAGATTCTTTCTCAACTATTTTCACAAATTTTGAATTTAAAACTCAAAAAAAATGCTTCTCATCTAGACTTATCCTAATTGACGTAGTAGAACAACTGAAATAATGTAACGTACTTCATCCGCAATCTTTGAGTGTACCATCATAAATAAAAAAGAGTACTGAAAGACAATAAGTATGATGTGTCGTTGAACTTGATTGACCTAATAGTTATATAGTTTCGATAAAATGTGAACGATAAATTTCCGGAGGTTATTTATCCTGGATCAAATTATAACCAGAAAAAGGCATGTAATGAGTTATCATTCAAGAATTGTTTTGGTTGAGGTTAGTCCTTCACTTCATCCACACTATTAAACAACTCTCAATTACTAAAAACAATTTTAAATAAACACCAACTTATGTGTTTCGTAGCACAATTGTTTTTCATGTTGTCTTATTTAACTTGGTTGTTCCTCTTACTGTTGTTGTGTCAATTCGTAAATCCATTTGCATGAATCCTAAGGGCTTATGTATGTATGATCAAGCATTTCTGATAACACGTAATCTAATTTATGATTTTAGGATCCTGATGGTCAACCATTACAATTAGAAGTAGTGGATGTTGGGGATGGAACATATATATGTCATTATACACCAATGATCGTTGGACGCCATACTGTACGAGTGAAATATGGTGGGCAAGAAATTCCTGAAAGTCCATTCCTAGTACCAGTTGCACCATCTGGACGATCTAATATGTGTCGTATAGAAAGTAAGATAAATAAAGAAAATAAATTTGTTTAATGTGATTAAGTTATGCGATATTTCTAGATCAATATTCAAGTAATTGCTTGCTTCCAAAGATCTGACACAACTAATAGTTTTGAATAAAGCAAGATAGTCACTACTTATGGAGTAAGACGAGTTTATTCTATTTCATAGTTCCCTTTAATTTCAAACAACCTAAAGTTACAAAGAACAGGACTGAGGACAAAAGTTTGACATCCTTTCGTCATTGACGGTGAGATGAATGTTTGAAGTAGGACTGAAATTATAGTAAGTGGAAGAAAATACTAAACATTACATTATAATTAGCAGTTAAGATTGATGCCCTTTCCCAACTATGATGGGAGGTGTTAGCTAACTCAATGGTTTAGTTGCCTGGTTATGCATCCAATAAAGCTTTCTCCACGGGAGCAGCTGAATTCGTACATGCACATAGATGTGGCAGGTAACGTATCCTTTGGTTGAAGAATAACAATAGGTCGGCTCGAGAACGATAGACAGAGGTTGGCTCGCACCAAACGTTCTCTTCATTGCTTTAGTTAGTCTATCTTGTAATAATTCACTAGCTATATCTCCATTGAATTGAAGCTTTCTCACCAACCGTTGATTTCACTGCTCTCCCATTCACTATACGCAAATGTTTCTCCAGAAAATATTGTGAATAACCCATTTCAATCTATATATTATAAGCTTCAAATCCTTGTTTACGATGTCAGCTGAACATATCTTCCAAGCTCTTCTTACAACATATCTAATAAAGTTTCTCTTGCAATTAATGAGAATAAAACTCAAGAAACGTATGTATTGGCGTGTCGAAGAACTTCTTCTATATACACTTCTATTGTCAGAATTATTTTCTTAACAGCTTAACACAAAGTCAAGGAAATGTAACTTGCTATAAAGTTCCTCCTAACACGTGAACCTGATTGCTGAGTGTATGTTGTTGATTATCTCAGGAATGTATCTTTTTCAATATTTTCATCAACGATGATGAAATGTAGTCAATGTAACGGCGAAAAAATGCAAGCTTATCAAAAATCAATTACGACGTTCATTTTCTAGTTTTGAGAGAGAAAGAATCAGCAAATATAGGACCTAGAGGTGAACCCATAGCTTAACATTTAACCTTCAATAGTTGCTTATTTATATAAGCAACTGTCACCAATTCCATAAAATAATCATCACACTATGTTGCTAAGTAGTCAAAGTTGGAATTGTAACATTGGACGTTAAATCAACGGTTATAAAGGTCAAACAGTCGCTGTGTGACTTTTTGTCCTGAGTAGGATCCCTGTTGGAGTCGTTGTTGTTCTTTACTGATGGGTCCCACCCTGAGACGAAACCGCTATCCAATTCTTTCTGGTTTTCAATAGTATCCCCCCAATGAAGTCAATCTGTAACGACAGCTACCTCATCAAAATCCTTCAAATAAATTAGACGAATAGATAATAAATTTACAACCTAGTCACACTTTTAATCTAATATTATTTTCTTTTGGAATTATTATTGTTATTTTTATAAAAAACGAAAAAATTATGCATTACTTTTAAAGTTCATTTCACAATGCCTATCTAATAGATAGGCATATGTATACAAATACAATTGAAAAGTAGTGGTTATTTGTACCCATTATCACTTCACCCACTCAATATGTGCTAATTACCTTATCTTGTTTTTATACAAAATAGTAATTTATAGGTGAAATTTACCATATGCACACACACACACAAGCGCGCTTATCGACTTTTATTCACGTACCACTGTATTCACTTGTCAGTATCTGTATATGTAGGTTTGTACAAATATACGTAGTTGTGTACATTTATTAATCAGCAAAACTGATTGATTTGTAACCATATCATATAGGAAAAAGGGAAAACAAGGCATAATCACAAAACTGATACCTTTCCATTTGGTTATTGTACATACATACACACAATTCATGTATACTGATGTATCCAACATCAAATCTATTCTAAAATAAATGTATTTATGAAATTTCATATTTCAGTAACTAAAATAAACAGTTTGCTATGATGTCAAGACAAATCTGTTCATCATAGAGAAATTCTGTACAAATATATCACAGGATTTTTATATAAGTCAGTAAATAACACTTCTCATTAGTAAACCCTGATGTCAAGTAATCAGTTTAAGGTTAAGGTGTTTTTCGTTTTTACACAATATACTTATGATCCTTGTTTCACTGAGTCCGAAATTAATAGTTCAAGTCAATTTTTATCATGAAGTCATGCCAGCTGAAGAATTATAGAGTACCGATGGTTACTGGACAACTAGTATAGGACCCCTGAACAATGTCTACCCAAGAACCCATCATCGAACACTAAGAAATCATTTAGTTAGAGGTCACTTCATTGTGGCATTATGTAACACGAGATTATTAATTTCGATAGGACTTAATGTTTGACATAGTTGAGCTGATTACGCGATTATGGTTAACATCTGACTGACTAAATATTTGAGAGTATACTGTATGAATGACTTCATAGTTGTTAAATAAACTGGAATCTGAGTTGATCACTTCCTAATTATAATGTAAATGTTACCCATTGCGAACATTTTATTCAACTACGCTGTTAAGTTTCAATTGTGTTTGGATAAACCACTTTAAGAGCCGACAAGTGAACTACTGTGAACTGCTTTTCACTAAATGTCTGCAGAAAGTTAATCTTTTTAATATCAGTCAGTCAGTCATAGCGTAGAACTTCCTATGTACGTACATCAGTTCGAGTTGCCATACCACATTAGCGCAGAGATACAGTTGTCGATTCAAATCCCATAGTGGTAGAAGTAGTAAGAGTATAAGCATTATATGAAAGATTAGGGTTTGAAGATGTTATTGAAGAAGTATAATACAGTGAAATAACTTTGGAAAAAGAAAAAGGATAGGGACATGAAGAATTCAGAAGATTAGAATTTGGTAGAACACAAAGAGTTGAGCACCTTTGCCATTGCAAACGATTTTGAGTCATGTCACTCAAGGTCTCTAACCATCGATTGCTATCATATCGCGAATCCCAACCAGGTAGTTTACACCTACCGACATGGCTCAGTCCACTTGTCAGAGACTTCATAGATTTCTACCATGTTTTGGTCTGGCCGCCCCTAGCCTTCTTCCAACTTACTCCTACACCATAAAACATCTTTTTAATATTGGACATGCTAGTTAATTAATTTATTTATAAAGTGTGATCTCCCTTTAAAACTGATGCTAAGTGACAAATTATTAGAAATTTGAAGAGACTGAATAGCTATTTTGTTCTAGTTTGGGACTTTTAAGTGAACCACGTCTAGGAATTTCAGTTCTCGTGGAAGCACAATATCTTTGGGCTACCTGTTACATCCTCTATTTGATTATGACAGAATAAAATTTGCAACTAACAGCACTCGGACATGTAGAACCCCACAGTCATAAATACGAAGACGGAAGAATTAGGGGGAGTGATTATTGTGTAAAAATAGAAAATCTACCGAAAAACATGGGTATTTATAGTTATTAGAATTGACTATAACATCATTATAATTCAACCAATCCGCAAGGAGGCAAGTTATGCTATCGTCAAATCGTGGAATGTCACGGTGGTATTCTAGAAGGTTCTATCAGGTTCTGATTGAATAGAATCTCTTCTGCTCTTTAAAAGCTTCTGAAGGTTTCATCGTGCCATTCGAAGCCGTCCCAACACTACCAAGTAGATATCTGATGGGAAATACTTGGAATTTAGGTCAATTTTCGATATGGTGTAATCTTCATCCGGTGTTGTTTCTGGACTACTGTTCGTTGGCAATTAAAATGACATGACAACCAATGCCTACGCAGTAGAACTTCAGTAAATCCATTTCAAAGTTACTCGCAGTAAACGTCATAACAAAGTAACTGTATAATACTTCCTAGATTTCAACTGTTTTTTAACCGATAGGTTTTAAAATATACAAAACTCTCAAACGAATTCAATTTTCACCAAATAGTTTTATTCTTTTAATGAATGATAAATTCAATAAATTGGATATTATTAATAATTTTATATTTTACCAAAAGATGGAAATGATAGCCGAATACCTGTTGGTCAAGAATGTGTTATCAGTGTGAATACACAACAAGCTGGTGTTGGACAGTTAACTTGTCGTATTGTTACACCATCTGGAGCAACAGCCGATGTTGAAATTCATGAAGCACCAAACGGTCGAGTTAATATTTACTATACACCACCAATTCGTGGTGATTATTTAGTTGAGATAAGATTTGGCGGTGAACTTATACCAAATGGAAGGTTTAACCAAAAAGTAAGTACTATATAAAGGTCATTTGAAATGCGTTGATATATGAAGTTAGTGGGGATCACGATGTACTTCTACGATAATCTTGATTAGCACTGATAATTAAATGAACGCCATACAGAAAGAATAGGATTATATGCTTAAATCATTTTTATCACTGACTGATATCTGTTTGTTTCAATTTTATAATCCTGTCAACAAAAGAATAGTCAGTATGAAGTCATACAGATTGTTGAATCTTATCAATATCATGATCTGATCTAATTTAGATAGCCGTTAAAAACCTTGAAGCACTAAACAATCATCAAATGACGGTAAAACCTAACTGCAATCAATTCACGACATTATGTGATCATTTCTTATCGTCTTTGGTGGGTAACTATCTCACCCCCTACACGGATTACCACCACTGTCGCTTTTAATGGATCCATTCATTCAACTTTTAAAAATTACACTAGACTTCAGAGAAAATTAGTTATAGTATCTCGCTTTTCTTTTGATCAGGACAAAATAAATGATAAACATTTCCCGAATGTTACTCGTTTTTAACTGAAAATTTGCGAAGAATTCTAGGTCGTTCACTTTACTTTTTTCGGTTTGTGATTAAACTTTGAGGTTTCATATGCATCCCGGTGTTATTCTCATCAATACATCTATGGAAAAGATGCAGATTAAAATATCATCGTCAGTAAAGGGTATATATTGTAATATTTCATTGAAATCATGAATCGATCTAAGCTATACCACTATTGATAACCTGGAAGCAGTGGACGGCTGTTTCATCATTATATAGAACTCTTCGGTAGTGTGTATCCACGACCTTATACGCGGTAATTGAACACAGGGCTTTCGGTCTCGCACACGGACGCTTAACGTCTAGACCGCTGAGTCTAACATTAATACCTTTGGATTTTGAATAATTGGTGGTATAACCTGTACCGGTTCATGATTTCAATAAAATATTTTCAACAGACATTATTGACTAATGCAAGTGATTTATATCAACTCATATGACAGTGGCTTAATAGATGTTAAGTCAGGTAGAAATGATAGAACCACAGAGTTCCGTTAACAAAATGCTCAGTCGCAAAAAAATCTTAAGACTCCGTTACGTGGAATCGTTTTGAGCTGGAATTCAGGTGAATTCGCTAGAATTCATCTTCACATAGTTTACTCTTCACACATAATAATAGTATTTTCACGACTGTACAAATGCAATAGTTACCAGCTATTTGTACAGCTTCTTCAGCTAAGGATTTTGTAAACATTTCTCCACAAATCAGTCACCAGAACATTTAGAAATTGTTCAATAGTAAATGAGAAAGTTTGTATGCTTCCTTCTTACTATGAACTAATCCAAGTCATACTCATAAGCATACAATTTAACATTCATTACACAATAACATTTCACATAAATAAACCAGTGATTTGTAAGAGAACCAATAGTTGAAATAAGTTCATGTATAATATACCTGTTGAATATTTAGCTTATTTAATATATTAGCCCACTACTTTGTTTACGATATTATCTAAACAAATTTAAACATTCAACATAATGTGATCAGTTTCTTTTAAAATGGTACAGCAATTTCAATAATTTATGATTTTCAGAAGGGGGTTTTGTGGAGATTTTAGTAATTTTATAGAGTTGAGATCATGAGTCAGTTGAAGCTAGATCACCATGGGAAACCTGGAAGCACTGGACGACCGTTTCGTCCAATTGTTGGACTCCTCAGCAGTGCGCATCCATGACCCGCGAGACTGATAGGTCCTGGGTTCGAATCTCGCGGTACGGGATCGTGGATGTACACTGCTGAGGAGTCCCAAAATGGGTCGAAACGGCCGTCCAGTGCTTCCCGGTTTTCCATGGTGGTCTAGCTTCAATTGACTCATGAATTCAACTATAAAATTACTAAAGTCTCCACAAAAACCCCTTTTGATATTAATGTTTTGTGTGGTCTTACTAATAATTACAAAATTGCGTACATATAAATAGTCTTTGTCTACGAATATCAGTAAAAACATTTGACTGAATCATTGAATTAATCAGAAGTGAACAGTTGCATCTTTTTCGTTTAGATCCCTTAAAACTTGACTTCATTTGTTGGAATATTGATCTGACAATTCAGAAATACTTCAACAGTTGCATATTTCTTTTTATAGTAGGCTTTCAGGCATATGAATTTTATATAAAGATACAACTTATCTGTTATCCTAAAGTTCTATAGACATTCAATAGTCACCTAATCAGTTCCCAACTTGACTCTTAATTTTTATACGATTAACTTTCTTACTTTCTACTACTTATGATCATTAGGTGATTCAGGTAACAATACGTAATTTATAAACATTATCTAATTTCTTTCTGTTTGTGTTTTAGGCTGTCAGCCCAGAAGAACTAATGAATGATGTAACTGTAAGTGTGAATAGTTTTTTATGAAATCGTTGTTGAAATGAATTAAAGATCACAGTAGATGTTAAGAAATAGGGATTAGTTGAAATAAAAATAATCGGGTAACATTCTGATTAGAACACTTAAAACTTTTGTCATTGGATCGTATCGTGAATAAACATTTAACTCTACAGATGGATTTTGTACTCCCTAATATTCAGAGATTCATTAGCGTAAGTCAATTTTAGGACAAATAAAAGTTCTAGATAATTATACTCTGTAAACAAAACGTCTATCATTCACTCACTTTAATATATTTAACAGAATGTTGATTGCTAGGTGCCAGAAATGAAACTCATTTTAGGAGTTCATAAATATTATTATTAGACTTATTATGAACCGTCCAACATTAGATAAAGGAATACTTTGTTAGCTAATTTCTAATTTCGTAAATAAACATTTGTAAATGTAAGTAAAGATGGATAGTGGCTAGCAGTGGAATCCAGGACGCGCCATTAGTCCTATTTGGGACTCGTCAGCTGGATTTACCTGCATCTCAGAGTTGATGTTCACTCTGGGACTCGAACCCAGTACCCTTCGCTTCAAACGCTATCGCGTTAGACCAGTTGCAGTCCTAAACATTAATGGGAAGATTCAAACAAACGATACTAAGTGAATATAAACTTCCTCCTATTGCAAAAGCAAATGGCTATCAGGACTCAGTGGCCGAGTGGATGACGCTATGGCGTTTGAAGCGAAAGGTACTGGGTTCGATCCCAGAGTGAAAATCAACTGTGAGATGCAGGTACATCCCAGCTGACGAGTCTCAAATAGGATTGAACGCGCGTCAAACTGGATTCCACTGCTAGTCACTATCCATCTTTGTTTACCATGCTTGTGAATTTAGGCTATATCGAGGCAATACGCACAGTATGCACATATGTCAATTAGAGACTGACCAGTTGCAGTCCTAAACATCAATGGGTAGATTCAAACAAACAATACTAAGTGAATTTGTAAATGTGTTAATAATGACCACTTTGTTTGTGCGCATATGTAATCGGCTAATACACGATAACCTGTATTATTCAAAACATTCTGACACTTGAACGAGAAAATAAGGTAAGATAATTCAAGTCACAAGTTATTACACCATTTGATATTAATACATACTTTAACACATATTGTATGGATTTGCATCTTCAGTGAAACAAGTATAACACTTTAATAGGTGTTTAGTACATAGTTTTGATCTCTTTAGTTTAAACGTAAAATACTGACGGAAGGTACCTTTTCAAATGTCAACGCAACCTTGAATTTATCCTAATAATCCTTAAGTCATTCTATGACCTAGGATAACGGGACATTTTCTTATTCTTTCTATACGATGTGAAATGTTTCTCTCCCCTTTGTTACCTCTTTTACTTGAACTTCCATTTAATTGACCTTTATTAATTTTCATATAAAATGCCCTAACAAGTATATGTGTGACCAGATTGTTCGAAATGTCTAGCGCGAATACATCACATTTTTCAGATCAACTCCGTCTTCTAATTGTTATAACGAGACAAATTTGATAATCAGTTATAAACATGCTCCAACCATATATGGTCCTCCATCTAGTTAGATTAGCAGTGTTGCCGTAGTGAAGATAATAAGGAAAATATGCTCGTGAAAATCAAACTGAATACCAATAATTAATTTCTGAATAATGGGCAGTTTTAGTATCTGGTCGGTTACAGTTATTACAAATTATTAAACAGATAAATGCCAAAAGTTTATATATAACACCACTGATTGAGGTCTTAAATTACATGTTTGAATCTGAGGAAAGGTGTAAGTTTCCAGAGATTAATAATATAGTTTCTGGATCAATACGGATGCGCATATCTTTTCACTAAATTATCCTCAAACACTAAAGACAATGGTTAAATCAATGTACTTTACTAATGTCATGAGAATGACGTGTCATTTACTATATATTTCCTTTTATGCCAAAATTTCTAGGATCAAAGAGTACAACATGTAACTGTACAATCTGTACAGTCTGTCCAGTCTTCAACCGTCACAACAGGATATCACCCAGTTGACTTTAAACTACCTGTTGGCCCAACATTTAGTCATGTGGAAGGTAAGAATGTGATATTGCATTACACTTTCCAACACCTAACTATTCCAATATATTGAAATGAAAATACAATGAAGCATATATATTAATCTATTTATTACTCAGAGTAGCTGAGTAATATGTGTTCAACGTTCCGTATTTACTAATCTAACCATCCGGATAAAATTGATTAACTTGGATATGAGCCAGTGATTATTGATACTATCATGATTTCTGAGACAAATTAGGTGGAGCGAGTTACACATTAGTGTTTCAGTCACTAAAAGCTAAATGCTGAAGGCACTAAACATTACCATCAAATTTCTGTTAAGATACATGCAGGTTATTAGCTCTATGGAAGTCTGTCAGTCATATGGAACGTAGAACCTGGCACATATGTGCATCATTTCAAGTTACCACACCACGTATCAGTACATCGAGATTAAGCTATCAAGAAAGATACTAGAGTAGAAGTAGTGATTGCATGAACTGACGTTAATACTTGGTTTGGTCACCCTTAGCTTTCTTTCACTATACACATTCACCAGTCACTATTACCCGTACAGGTAGGCGATACCTGAGTATGGGAAATATTGTCCCAAACGCTTATATTGATGAAGATTCATTAGTTCATCAACCGATTTCCCATCTTTTCTTAGTACCCTACGGTTAACCTCAAGGTTGGTCACTGGGTGATGTTATATGAAAACTTAATTTAAATGTCTGAGCTTAATCTGAGGCCTGCCAAACGGTAAAAAAAATGTTTAGTTCGTGGAATCGGAATTATTCATCAATCTACCTCATAGTAACAAATGAAAAAAATCAACTAACGAGTACTAGAATAAAGATTTGATGGCTTTTTAACTGATTGTTGTAGGACCTTTTAATATAGAACAGTTGAAGATCAATCGGTACACAAATCGGTCGTTCTCTCAGTGTGACCTAAAGGCTCTGAGTTTCGTCATGTGTGAGATCGTATGTATACTTTTTTGAAAAGTCCTAAACAAAGATAAAACAGATATCCAGTGCTTCCTGGTATTTCGAGGCTACTTCACTTGATGTCAATGTCTCACGAAAATCATTTTCAAAACAAATCAATTTCGACTTGATACTTGACTAACTATAAATGACTTGTCTTATTTCCTCTATCGTAAAAACATTGCTTACGATCAATCCTAATCTAAGATCTTTATATGACGTTTGTAGCATTCTCATGTCATTCCTCCAGAACATACACTCATTCAAACCTATTATTGTTTGAACTGTTATAAAGTCCAACAAAAAAGATAACAAAATTAATAGCTGAATTAGTGTTGGGCATTGTATCAGTTTATATAAGACTACGCCTGCTTTGACGTATGTTCTAATATGAACCTACTACATTTCTTACTTATGAACATCCAATGATATTGTTAGGGATTAAAGTACTATCTTATTTAAATAGTGATTATATAATCGAAATGGTAATGCATACCGAATAAATTCGACAACTCATAAAGTGTAATGTAATATAATGGCTATCTAGAAACCTGATAGCTTTGTCAAAATAACTAAAAGAGAAAAATCATTTTTTTCGTCAAAATAACATACCAGGTTTGGTTCGTGCTCCAAGTGGTCGAATTCTACATCCGACTTTATTGGATAATGGTGATGGAACAGTTACAGCACAATTTCAACCAAATGAACCTGGACTTCATGAATTAGAAATAACTTATAATGGCCAACCAATACCAGGCAGTCCTTTCAGATTCTATGTTGAAGCTGTTGGATCTGGGATTGTTACAGCTTATGGACCAGGATTATCTTGTGGTCGTGCTGGAGAACCAGCAAATTTCACTTTAATTACGCGCGATGCTGGAGCAGGTAAATAATGAACTTATTTATTTAAATAATTATTTACTGGGTTATACTATGATGGAAGTAAGACAGTTATTACTAATGGCACTAGTATGAATAGGCTGGTGCTGAAATTATGGATTATTGTGACCCAACTTGACTATCCAAAAGAAATCTGCTCTCAGGAGAGCCCAGATGTTCTGAATTCATACAAAGAGAACCATTTCGGCCCACTGCTTAGAAGTGCTGAAATAGGAGGATATATGTATTCATGTATACGACCAATAAAACTGTTAATTACTCGTTCTTATAAAAACGTTCATTCTAATTACTATAGATTGCAACGAATATGAAATCATTGGTTCGTTCCCATATATAACTGAATTCCAATTGGATATATACTTATACCCACCCATTAATGAAGGAACAACAAATACATCAGATGACAGTTAGTGCTGTGTGTAAGGTTGATGATTAATGGTGAATGGTTTATGTTTTTTCTTTTAATTGTTCACAGAAACAATGCACCATTACTAACCACTTTTCTCTTTAAAGCACAATTTCACTTTTTATTTCCAACGGTTTGTGAAATGTCTTATTAAGTCGGATAATAACTAACAGTGGAACTCGTTTCACAAGTTAGCGTCCATATGAACTCAGTAAGTCAACGAATAAAGCCTTGGCGTTTAAAACTAGGAGTATTGAGTTCGAATCCCAGGGTGAATATCAACATTAAAATGGACGTATATCCTGTCGAGGAATCCCAAATAGGGTGGAACATGCTTCCTGAATTTCACCAGTACCGAACTTTATTAAAATCTTGTGACTGAATGGGAATCTCGAGACAATCAGCTCACATATGTCAATAGATACTGATCATGTGAAGACCACAACCCCAGCAACGGAAAACACAATCGCTTAAAAATGAAGTTAGTGGGACGCTTTCAGAATAAATGCTTATAAAATTGAAATATCAATATTCGCCGAAAAATTCCCATCATATTAAAAACATAGATACATGAACGAAGAAAATTATTTTCAATAAATTCTCTCTGGGTTCTACAACCGAATCAAAAATCCAAGATGTGACCATGTGGAAGGCAAATAAGCCGTTCAAAATTATAACAATGTGAGCTTAAGACTGTAAAATGAAATGAGGTTGATAATTTAGTTAAAATCATGAACCAAGAGACAATCACTGTAAGCCTGGAAGCCCCGAAAGGCCGTCTTGTCCTAGTATGGGACTTCTCAGCAGTGTGCACCCACGACCCTGCCACAGGAAATCGAAACCACGACCTTCGGTCTCGCTCGTGAACGCTTAACCATACTGAAAATTATTAGTGTTGGGATGACTAATATGAAATATTAACTTGGTGTATTGAATGAAATTGTAAAATAAATGGTTAGAATAAATATGATTAACATGGGGTAAGAGAGATAATAATGTGATAACAAATCAGAATAAATGTTTTATCAAGGATTACGTAATATATATGGAATAATATGAATTCGGTAAGAAATGGTAAATAGAAGTGAATGCCAATCAAATTCCTTGAATATTTACAAGAGCCATGATAATAATAATAATAATAACAACAATAGTAATAATATGCGAATAACAAAAATTTCAGCCATGAAAATACAAAGAGGAAGGCATATTTCCTTAAGATCATCACCCACCGTATACAACGGAAGGCAGTTCCGAAATAAAGCGAATTGATTGAAGCTAGCCAGATAAATCAATGGATTCCAACTAAGTGATTTAAAAGTTAAGCTTTCATAAAGAGATCTATAGTTCCTGAGTCCGATCTTTAGTTGAGTCACGGATAGAGATTTCCGAGGTATCATCCCACACTAAAAACGAACGGCTGTTCAATGATTCTTGATTTTGAGTGGTTTTATGACTTGGGTCGCTTTGTGATATGAATAACAGCAACAGTTTTGTCAAATACCATTTGTTTGTGGTAATTGGGTTTCTCCCCTTTGTATTTTTTTTGCAAAAATATCATCTTGGTAACTGTAACACCGTTTTCATTAAATTTAACTTAACAATATTATCTGTCTCCAATTTTATTTGGGAATTTCAAGGCGGATTGTCACTTTCCGTTGAAGGACCATCCAAAGCCGATATTCAATGTGATGATAATAAAAATGGTACTTGTAGTGTAAGCTATTTACCATTAGTACCTGGTGAGTATACAATATCGATTAAATTCATGGAGAATCATATACCTGGTTCACCATTCACAGCACATATAGCAGGTATGTTGAAATAATCATAATTTGAGTTTGTATTAAGATATTTGTCAAGTTATTCATTTATGCCCGTTACTAAAATAACGGATAAAAATAAGTAGCCAGTTGAATAAATGAATGATAAAAAGTAGCTTAATTAGACATTGACATTTTAAACAGTTGGTTGATAATGTACAAATTTATAATGCTTTCGATACATATTTCTTGCACATGATTTGAATAATTAGACAATTTATTATGTTTTTAGATTAATTAACAAAAGTCATTTAATCATTTTACGTATATAACTTTAAGTGGATTAAAAGTAGTTCAGAAGTTTAGATTGATATCATCAATGGATCGATGTTAGATCACCATTGAAAACCTGGAAGCACTGAACAGCCGTTGCGTCCTAGTATGGGACTTCTCAGCAGTGCGCATCCACGACTCAGTGACCTAGAGGTTAAGCGCTTGAGCGCGAGACTGAAGGGTCTGGGTTCGAGTTTCGCGTGCGTGATCGTGGATATGCAGTGTTGAAGAGTCCCATACTAGGACGAAACGACTGTCCACTGCTTCCATGTTTTCAATGGTGGTCTAACTTCGATCCATTCATGATATCAATCTTAACTCATTAATCTCCACAACCCTATGCTGATATTTAAAAAGTGTTGCAAATTTATAAAATTATGATTATATACAGGCATAAATTAGATATTGTCTTCTGACTTACCTCTGTATCGATGACATAAGAATGTGGAACAACTACTTTAATTGTTCGTTATTTTCGTATTGTATTTTCGTTCACACGATTTCATAAATACACCTAATAGTTATATTATTATTCTTGATTGGCATACTTCTGTCAGTAGTAAGAAAAATATGGTAATCTTATAAACCGTTTATAAACAATTACATGAACATACTTTAAGCGTACTTTAAACGTAACTTTGGGTAGTGTTGGTTCGAACCTTAGACGAAGTAATATAGTACTTTTTTTCTGTTTATCATGTACAGTTTTTATCAGTTTCGTCTCTTCCAACTAAGACATTATGTGAATAAAATGTAGTCTAAATTGTGTAAAAAGATGTTTGTCATTACAACTAGAAACTTAAATTCTCAATACTGAATACCTGAATATTAGTGGTTTCATGATCAGATCTCACTGATGAGGTTATAAAATTTCATGGATCTAATATTTTCAATAACCTGATTGTTTACAATCACCTAAATTCTTTATAGGCTATTATGACTTACAAGAAGAGGCTAGTAATATGTTTACATATCTTGTCGAACATTCAAAATTGCTAATATAAATTAACGATATTATTAAAGCTCTCTGAGCAAGTTAAAATTGAGAGTAACATTAGTTGGTTAAAAGCGGATCCGTATATTAGTCTACTTCTTACGCAGCATATTCTGATTATTCATTCTGTAGCTAGAGGTTAGCTCTACCTCATTGTAAGTAGTTTGTGGGACTCAAACAAATCAATGAAGTGATCAGAAAAGCATAATTTGTGTTTGAAATGGAATAACGGAGACGGGTATTTTTTTAATGGAATTCAATAATGATATTTTCATATTGATAAAAGATAACTTTCTATCAGTTGTTCTTTTAAATAAATGAAATTATTAATTAAGGATAAACGCAAAATTCTGTTTTCTATCTAGAGGTTCTGAAGCCTTTCGAATAACTGTATCACATATGCCGATGAGATATAGCCTGTATCATATAAGTGCACCTACAGATTAAATAATAATTTTGAACTGCAATTCAGTCACCAAGATAAATGTATTGGTGAGATTCAGGAGTACTTTGGAAGACATAAGACTGTTTGATCCCATTTTTTGTTAAAGAACTTTGAGAACCTCAGTATTGATTGGATTAACCAGTATTTTAATCTTACGACTGCATTCTACCAATGGAAAATAACATATAATTTATGATATACACTACATTGTAAAACCTCTCGTTTTTTACTTTACAGGGGAATCACGCAGATTCAATCAAGTTTGTGTCGGTACTACCAGTGAAATGCCGTTGCGTATTACAGAAACAGATATTTATAATCTTGTTGCAACCGTCCGTAGCCCATCTGGACATGAACAACCATCAACATTAAAAAGACTGCCAAACGGACATCTAGGTAAATTGAAACATTATGAGTAATGAAAGTTTTTATATGTAAATATTCAATGGTCATGGTCCTGTATCATGAATACTTAGTTTTATTTCAGTAAATGTGTAAAACTGTTCATGTCAAACAAATTGTTTGTTATAATTATCATCCTTGAAACAATGCGATGATACATCTTGAAAATAAAGCTTGTAACCACGTTCATAGGTCTTTGGAATGGAATCACAATAAAGTCTACTATAAAGAAGAAATAACCCGAAATGATATCTATAACTGTTTAATAAATTTTTAAACTGTGACTGTAGATTGCTTAAAATGCTTTGATAACCTTAGTGATTACGTCAGTGTTAACATTTAAAGTTACGGTTGAACCGTTCAGGGTAAGCAGTCAAACATTTTTAAGTAAATTTCTCTAATAAAGGAACACCCATAAAGTAGTTGTCATACTTTTGGCAACATTACATACCGACCTTAAAGATATTAAAAATTCAAAACCTTGAAGTCTTGAACGACTGAATTTCGTACATCAGTAGCACACTTATTCCTAACCATAATTGTTATATCTAGAGCTTTGGATTCTTGCTATGCTGCGTACTACTAGACTACCTGAACGATCGAAACCGCAACGTCCCAAGAGAGAAGACAGAAGACTAGTAAGTAGGAATTTTATTCCCCAAAACATTGTCAAAATATAGTACAAAAATCTCATGTATTTATAGTTTTTGGCTGAAAGTAAATCATCATTTCGGACAGTCAATAGGCATATAGGGGGTCCTTCTTATTCATCCAATAGGAGAGCTACACGTCGACATTCTGAAATGTTCCTCTAGCGGTGATCAGATGGAATATCTTCGGCTCTTTCTGGGTTTCTTGAGGCTTCCTTGAGTTTGCCAACGAGCCATCCTCACAATAATTCATCCAAGTACATTGTGTGTGTTATAGTAGCACTTCAGAGAAAATATCTAACCCATATATTCCATGAACAATAACTCCTTTGTGAATGAATAAATAATTATATGTAATTCACAGATGAAATTTATTCCTGTTTAAATAGACCACAATAATTTTACCTTCTTAACTAGAAACATAAAACAAGTTTCAATCTCAATTTGAAATATATTTTAAAAAAGTTAATTTAATGTAACGAAATTTCATCATTAAGCATGAATACTCAAAATAGATCTTAGTTTCTCAGTCTCTCTTTCCCCTCTCTTTTTTCTTTCTTGTTTTCTAAATGTCGGTCTAATAAAGTGTAATGTAACAATATAATCCCTTCTTTGTCAAGACAAGTTTAAACAATAATAACTATCTTAAATGAGTGTATATAAAATTATAATATGATAGTAATCTTCATATATGTCTAAAATGTACTCAAATGGCTACAAATTTATCCATGATAAATAAAAGTTTACGGTTAACTTGGTGTTGTTTACTTGTATCTTCCTATTGTTATTTAGGACTGCAATTGATCAGTCTCTTATTGGCCATATGTGTATCCTGTGCAGACTGCCTCGATATTACTCCATTGCACAAGTAGGTGGCTATCAGGACTCAGTAGCTAAGTGAATAACACATTAGCGTTTGTAACGAACGGTACTGGGTTCGAATCCTAGAGTGAACATCAATTCTAAGTTGCAGGTACATCCGGCTGACGAGTCCGAAATTGGACGAAACGCGCGTCCTGAATTTCATTGCTAACCACTATCCATCTTTGCTTATAAAGTCTACAATGTTTGTTTTTGTTAAGTAGTATCAAAGTAAAAAAGAAACAATAACTTAATACTTTCTAATTTGAAAGAAATGTATTCTGTTGATATAAACTTATCATATTGAAGAAATTCCTAATCAACAATTTCCAATAAACCTTAAATTCTTATAATGTTAAATATGAGGAATCCCACAATAGGACGAAAAGGCCGTCCAGTGCTTTCAGGTTTTCCCTGGTGCTCTAGCTTCAATTGACTCACGCTTTCAATTATGAAAATATTTATAAATAATTTATAATTCTTATTTCTTAGGTATTTCATTTACACCTCATGAAATTGGTGAACATTTTGTTAATGTATTCCGTAATGGTCGACATATTGCTAATAGTCCATTTAAAATTTATGTTGGTGAAAATGAAATTGGTAATGCATCTAAAGTTCGTATTTATGGTAATGGATTAAGAGAAGGTATGGCAAATCAAAATTGTCAATTCACTGTTGATACAAGAAATGCTGGTAAGTTTATTATTAAAATGATTTGATTGGTGATAGTTGTTACTTTAGAGCTATTTGACATTCAACAGCAATTTTCAAAAGTGAACCTAACTCGTAACCTACAAATCTCTTGCTGAATACTATATGTTAAGACTACTAAGTCGAGATCTAATACTTCATCTTTCGATTACGTTTCATTAAACCAGGTGCACTTCAATGAATAATCACTTAGACTAGTAGTTACATTACAACTTAATTGACAGAATATCAGTTGACTGAGTTTATTTTTTAAGGTCAATAAGAACCAAACAGCATCGAGGTGCACAGGACAAGCTGTCAATCACATGTGGAGAAATTTAAACACTTCACTTGTACCCGAAGTTTTTGCTGATGATGTCGTTCAGAAGGACGATAAAAGCTCCACGACCAAGCCATCCAGCTCAGAGAACAAACCTACATCATAATAATTTACTATTTAATGACTGATTATAGAATAATTTGGAGATTCTAATTCTAGAAATTGTATAAACTTCATATAGCTAACGAACTTACCTAGTTTGATTTGTGTGTCAGTTAGCCACACACAATTATATTAGAGGTGGTGTTCAGTTTAATCATTAGAGGTATAAGTAGTTCAAAATTGATTTAATTCTTGAAGCGTCTTCAAATAGTTCGTTTAATAGTAAGAAAAACCAGAAATCCTAATAGATGTGAAACAGAATCTTTTACTATGAACTTTCAGTCAGGAAAAGTATCCATTCATATTACGTAGAATAATAAGTTTAAAAAGCATACATTATCGTTAGCATTTGTTATTAGTTAAGCCTTATTAACGTGGCTAGTATTATATTAGAGAGTCTTATGCTCTGTGGTTTTCAATAGATTTCCAGCTGACATCAATTCGTTATGAAAACTTTCTCTTCTTACATTTAACATACTGATATTAGCTCTCTCATATCAGTATCCTAAGTGGTGAACTAGTTTATCGAAGCCACCATTTGAATAACTTTCAAAGGTCACCTCCATTGAATTTCGATTATACAGAAATCAAACGATATCATTTATCTTGTAAAGTAATTTAAAATAGAGGTGAAGATTTTTGACTCATTCTGATGCACTTTGGTGGTTTCACGAACATACTTGATGAACTTGTCTAGATGAAAATCCTTTTTGTTTTGACAAACAATCGTCATTACTTCTCTAAGAGTTGCGAATTCGTCTCCAGGAATATGGGTTCTGCGAATAAAATTTTTTAGAAGTGATGTTCTCTGAGGTAGATAATTTAATTTAAAAGCTTCTATTGTCGTCATTGGCCTCTGAGCTATAATTTTTCTGCCTCATTTCAAGTAAATAGTTTGTTTGTTGAGATTTTCGAGCTATAAAAATTTGGGTTACTGGTTTAAATTGACCTGATCCAATTATTTCTTCCTCTCTGAGCACCTGGATAACAACGTTAATTACTATACCATAAATAGTAATCCTAGTGTACAAAAGAACCTAATCATGGTCGTCTAAGTATATTTCATTTTTTATCAGCTAATATCCATATTCTGTCGAAATAACACTTTAAACACGAACTACTGATATTCAAAAGTATATGCACGAGAAAGAGTAGCATATTAAATGAATTTACATCAAGATGTTCTTCAGGGAATTTATGTAATGAATGAACTGGTGATGTTAGGTAGGGGGCGAATACTTATTTGTAGATATGAAATGAACCAGTAAAAAAGACAATAAAACGGAACGAAGTATTCCACTAAACACATTACACATAATTTAACTTTCGAATTAAATTCTTAAGTAATGTTTTTTTTTCCTACTCGAAGGTTACGGTGGCTTGAATCTATCAATTGAAGGACCAAGTAAAGCAGATATTGAATGCCATGATAACCAAGATGGTACATGTTTAGTTACATATCGTCCAACTGAACCTGGAACATATATAATCAATGTTAAATACGCTGAACAACCAGTACCAGGCAGTCCTTTTGTAGTTCATATTGGTGGTGAACCATCACTTAGAATGATGGAAAGAATTACACGACAAAGAGAACTTGCTGATGCAACATATGTAGGCAGTCAATGTGAATTAAATTTGAAAATTCCAGGTAAATAACAATCATCAGTAATGAATTAATTGAATCATTTTGTAGTACAATGAACCGGCAGTGATTTATTTGTGAATCCCTAATTTACACATGGTTCTATGATCATGTTTATGAATATATAAGCAAATGTTTGTATTTCTAACACCAAAAGAAGTCAGACAGAAGAACATAATGCAAACACAGACCTCGAAAAAAATTATCGTACACACTTAAAACTACTCATAGAAAAGCAATGGCACCCATTGATCATAATAGAATGAATGGAATACATTCGATCAGATATAAAAAATAAGAAAGATTTGATCAGTTGAAAGTACTGTTTTTAGTGAATTCACGTTTTAGGTTGTAAAATCTTATATATGTATACTTCAAAATGATGGGGGGAATGAGTATTCATAAAGAAGATAGATAATAATTATGAGAAAGAGTTGTTTAACTTGTTAAGATTAATTATTGACATAATTAGAAAGAACATGAAAACGGAAATAAGTCAGTTAAGGGATCTAAGGAGGGGTGATAGCGTTAGAAAAGTGGTTTAAGCATTTTATTTTATTTATAAATATTGGTACAAGGGGACACCAGATACACATGCGCCACACAAATCTCATTTGATTTGTGTGAGCGATGTGATACTGACCAGGTGTCCAAACTCAAGCAGGTGGTTTTTTAGGGGGCCACATCCCCAGCCTTTTACCTAAAGGTCTGATCCACAATGCAATGGAGCATCGTAAGGAGATGCAGTCCCATGGTAACCGGTGACCAACGATTGATTCATACGCCATTTGTTCCCTCAGGATATTGGAGTCCATGTTCACTATTTGTTTGGAATCAGGGTTTTCCAACTCCTCTAGGTGGACTTGCCGTGTCCACCAACCAGGTTAAAGCGCTGTACATTCGCTTTTTGTCCTCTCAACTTTGCAAACAACACCCCGATACGAGAAGGCAGTGAGTAGGACTTCCTTGGCAGATGCTATATACGCGTGGCCATGTGAGATCATTTCGAGAGGGAGAGCAGACTCTCCACACTCTCAGTCGTATCAGGGTATTTGGGGGTGTTCGTATGCATAGTTCAGACTGTTCTGACAGTATAGCAAAGGCTTTGGGAATGTTAGAAAGACAGAATTTCACCGTCTTTGTAAAGTTTTTATTCACCTGATAGATGATTTTGAACTCAGACTGTTTTGAATAAATGATCCATGTTTACAAAGTGTTCAATTGTGAAGTTTCTCATTGATTTATTCCCAACTTTTTTAAAATTAACTGATTTAAAAAGAATAACAACACCGAATTAGAATAATACTGGTGGGGAAAAAGGATGAATTATTGCTTCTTCTATTCCATATTTTCAATCAGAAATAATGAAGTTCTGAAAACATATTAAACTAGTTATATATTATTCTATGAGCTGATGCTATATTGTGTTCTAATCTACTTTAGATTTCATTTTAATCTCTTCCACCTAACTTAAATGAAGTTAAACATTGATTGAGAAAATATGATGCATACCTCAGTTGTATTCCATAATTTTAATTTTGGTAAATGCCAGTTATTGAGATTAAAACATTATTTTTAAAACAAAATTACTAAAATCTCCACAAAACCCCCTTCAGATAATGATCATATGCTCACTAGTGACTGACTCCATCAGGTATTTCCTGGAGTTCTAGTGAGAAGCAGTAACCAGTGGAGTTCAATCAGGTCTGTTGGGAGATATCAACTCATTGAAGACAATGGTTGACGGTTGCTCAATTTCGTGGATTGGTTGAATTTAGGCAATAACACCGTTGGATGCTGGCTGAGTTGTCTAGAGGTTAAGCACTCGCGCGTGGGACTGATAGGTCCTGTGTTCGAATCTCGCGAGACGGGATCGTGGGTGCGCACTGCTGAGGAGTTCATCAATAGAACGAATTGGTCGTCCAATACTTCCAGGTTTTGCATTGTGGTCTAGCTTCAATTGACTCATGATTTCAACTACATAAAAAACATTCTTTCACACGTAAATAATTTCGCTAGTGTTTTTTTTTCTAGATTCATGCTAAATCTCCATTCTCTATTTTCCTCGGCTTAATATTTCTTTGTTAAGATTTTATTTATTGAAACCTCTGGTCACAAACCCAGTTAGTTCACGTGTTTATTTTTAAATGGTTGATTTCATGAGTCAATTGAAGCTAGACTACCACGGTAAAGCTGGAAGCACTGAACAATCGTTTTGTCCTTGTATGGGACTCTTCGACCAATCTAAGTTTCCCATAATGTTCTCGCGTACATCGACTCATGAATCCAACTATTAAAATTACTAGATTCTCCACAAACCTCATTCCGATAATATTTTTAAATACTCTAAATACTTTAAATACTGACTCTGAATTTATAAACTGATTAGATATTGCCTAATTGTTATAAAGTTTAGCTTCAAGCTTGATCTAATTGATAAGTCTTGTTGATTGAACGCTATACCCGGATCCTGATCTAGTCTCATGACCCCCAAGCTAGATCTACACAGCGACTTCAACACGAGAGCAAAGGCACAAAATATACGAAAAGCACTTTACTCCAAAGATTCATTCATGTACAGAAAATATATCGTTTTTATAATATTTTAGAAGTCCTTGGGTTTTCCTGAAAATCCTATAGTACTACTAAACATAGTAGTAGTGTAATAATCAGCCAATCAGAACCTCTACATGTGACTTTTCATTTTTGCGATATTTCTAGCAAAACTTTTAACCAAACGCTGATTGGATAAAATGCTTCTTAATGTTTCCTAAACTTGTCATGTCAATTGCGAGAAATTTTCAGGATCGCCCTAACACTAATTATCGCACTTCCATATTCAATGCTTTGCTTAAGATTTAGTTATTTTGAAACTTATGCTTTCAAAAAAAAATCATTTTATTGTTTTTCCATATGTCAGGAATAAATATTCGTGATTTAACAGCTAATGTAACTAGTCCATCAGGAGTAAGTCAACGATGTGATGTCTTAGCTATGGATGATGTGAACTATACCATTAAATTTGTACCACAAGAAATGGGTGTACATACTGTTTCAGTACGTCATCGAGGATCTCATATTTCTGGTAAGTAAAAAAACATTTATTTATTTATAGTCATTTAAAAACTAATCATATTTTTCAATTTACAATATGAATCATTTTCATCATTTTTTTCTAGGTAGTCCATTTCAGTTTACAGTTGGTCCTATTACAGAAGGTGGAGCGCATAAAGTACATGCTACCGGTCAAGGATTACAAAATGGTTTAACTTATTCACTAAATGATTTTAGTATTTATACTCGTGAAGCCGGTGCAGGTGGTTTATCAATTGCTATTGAAGGACCAAGTAAAGCCGAAATAAATTTCGAAGTTAGTTATGATATATTTTTAAGCTTGAATTCATTACTGATAATAAATGGAAAGTAGTGAATAATTTGACTATATAAGAAAATACTTATGTCAGGGTATTATGATATCAATTGAAGTAAAGTTGAAAAAAATTATTATACAGTAGTGTTCATTAACAATCCTATTTAAAGTTGTACTCGTTACATTCAGAGTATAATACTTATAGACCAGTAAATCGGGATTCAATAGTGTAAATCTCTAGTGATCTTCTATTTTCATCTGATTTTCAATTTATTTAGTAATGTCACAAACATCATCTTCAAATTAAATCAGTGTATATATACTATCCAACTAAATGGCTGTATGTGCGTGACCATGTGAGAGCATTTGGAGAGGGAGAGATGACTCTTCCCACCCTCGACCGTACTAGACCATTGGGGGGCATTTCACTAAGATACTCTTTGAAGTCACAAAGTCACATTATATTCAAGGGTTCTACGTGTTGTCAACTACGATGGGCTATCTGTTCACAACATCTTTTATTGTTTGTCTGTCACGTAACATTTAAATGACTGCAATAGATATATTCTAGACACATTTCTTAACTGGCTTATTTTATTCCGTTATTAGTAATACGATTGATTTACTGCATATATACGAAGTAATAAGCTCTTACATTTCATTCATCATTATGCAACTGGATTTAATCACGGGCTAAAATACCTCATCCATACGTGGATATTGATTGTTAGACAAAATAAACTTTTATATAAACTCTTCTATGCATCCACTGCTATGACTTCCACCTCATGTACTTCAAGCTATCTCCGTACTTCATCGAATTTAGTTGATTATTAATAGCCTGAATTGTATCTGACGATTGTTGGAATATTTTTCATCTACATTATATGGGAAGTTATGTAAGGTGGTTGAAAATAGTCGACAAGATACTTTAAACCTAGGTTACATGCTATTCGACACTCTTCAGAAGCGTATACTCATAATCTTAAGGGGATTAATGCTCCCTGAAGGACTCAATCCCATGTCACCTAAGTTCAAAGTCAGAGCCATCATCAATGAGTGCAAGATTTTCAGTCACTTAGATTAGTTAGACACATTCCAACTTGATCCATAGACTTCGATCAGCATTAAGAAGGATTCGACAGATATTCACTATCAGAGAACAATCAGTTGTAAGAGGAAGATGATGTGTTTAACATGCCCTTTCATATAATCAAGTTTATTCAATCAGTAAATACTAAAAGAGAATATTATTTTTTATTGAGTAAGGTAATTCATGGAGATTTCATTAAATAAACATTTTAAAGCTAATCTAACTTAGCTAAGAAATACTGCAGATAGTTTGGTTAATCACAATTATAGTGCAGAAAAGTTATCCATTTAATAGTCATATTAACAGTATTTATTGAGAGTATCTTGTTGTGGCGTAAATCTGATTTCGTCTATACTCGTATATAATAAATGACTTTATCCGCGTTAGTGAATAACGGAGTTAAATACGTCAAATACGAGAATGGATTTAGAATACATATATTTTTTACACTCATTGATCTGGCCATGGAATCAGAGCGATGAAGCGAACAGAAGCGAGAGTGACATGTAGTGGAGATGGCTGGGAAGCCAACTCGATTCAAGCAAGCGTTAATCAACATTTATAGTCGAACAAAAATGAGTGACAGACATACGATGAATAAGATACGAAGTGTACACATATATGCTCATATAAAAGTATAGTCAAGGTTAATAAGCAAATGATTAACAGGATCAAAATATGACTCATAATGGATAGGCGAATTGGCTTGGCCAGCAACTAGAATAAAGTATATGGGCTTAACGTATAAACTGATACTACAATCTAATTTCAAAGGTCTTCATTTGACTAACATTTTTTGCTACAACTTGAATCTTTTTTTAATCTTGTGCTAATGAAATTTAACCTATGGGCTATAATGGTGGACGGTGGCGCGATTTCGTGGATTGGTTGAAGTTAGACATTAACACCGTTGAATGCAAGCTCGGTGGTCTACAGGTTAAGCGTTTGCGCACGAGGTCGAATGTCCTGGTTTCGAGTCTCGCGAGAAGGGATCATGAGTGCTCACTGCTGAAGAGTCCCATACTGGGACGAAACGACTGTCCAGTGCTTCCAACTTTTCCGTGGTGGTCTAGCTTCAATTGACTCGTAAACTCAATTACTAAATTAATCTAGATTTATCTATTATCAAAATCGATGAATAGAATGCTAATCGATAGATAAACGCAGAGATATAATATGAGCGAGTGATGTCTGCTCATGTGACGGTACTATTGACTTAGAGCACCGAATGATTAAAAACCAAAGACAAAATCATTAGACAGATGGATATTTTTTCATTTAATAAAATAACCTGCTTACATATAGAAAATAAACACAAAATAAAAATGGTGAAATGTCATCAGCTATTGAAGGGGATTAGTTTATAGGTCAATCATTATCCAATCAGTTAAGACCTGACTGTTAGGTCTAACCTTAGGGCGTTGTAACATTGGTACAACAAGGACGGATTTTAGCTAGACTACCATTGGATAACAGGAAACCCTGGAGAGCCGTTTCGTCCTAGTGTGGTGGTCCCAGACGTGCGGACTCAAGATCCCACTACAGAGGATCAAATGTAGGACTTTTGATGTAGTGCTCGAACTCTTAATCTCCAAACCACTAGACCGACATTCATTAGTATACACTTCTAACGCCAGCCAGTTCGAAATAATGAGCGACCATCTTCCATTGCCTCTGGTGGATAGCTACCCCACACAACTGATATGGTTCAGTCATAAGAATTTTATAATCTCCACACAACCCTAAACTTAATAACAGTTTGTTTCATTCATTCCAGTTTATCATGAACTCTGTTTTTATACATAACAGATTATTCTTTGAAAAAGTTTTTAAATATCGTTTTAAAATATGTTAAATAACAATTTTCGTGTATCTTTTAAAGGATAGGAAAGATGGTTCATGTGGAGTTTCTTATCGTGTAACTGAACCAGGTGAATATTTATGCTCTATTCGCTTCAATGATGATCATATACCGAATTCACCGTTTCGTGTTATCATAAATGAAGCGATGGAACGAACATTCTATACACCTGAAACTAAATTATTGAATATTACAAGTATTCAAGATCGTGGTCTGTCGGTAAGTAATTCGGAAAAACAGTATTTCTCTTCACTAAAAAATGACCTTTTGTACGTGACTCTGAGTTACAAATTGTTCTTGTGAAGTTTGATGTTATTACTAAGTTGACCAAATCGAATTATGTGAAGTGAGTTTATGACCATTGACTCAAGGGTTGACAGTTCAGTAATCTAATCACCAGTCTTATATTCAAATTAAAATGAAATATGATTTCAGGTGCATAAACTCACTTACACACTGTAACAAAATTCCGTATGTTAAAATAACGACAATTAGGCTAGTAGTTTTAACCTTAGATATCTTTTATACTTCTTAATAACTACCCCTCGTAGTTATGCTCACCACTTAAAATCAACTATCCTTTCATACATCTTGAAATGTATGAGTATCAACGATAAGGAAAAAACCTTGTGGTAGTAAATAAATCCCAAAATTAAATAGTTCTGCAAATCTCCGACACTGATACCAACCTCATTAGCTTTACTGGACACAACCCTAACTGAAGGCTCTTAGTTAAGCATTTGCACTGGATCACGTTTGGGTACGCCGTGCTGCGTATCTCAAGTCAGCTTAGAATATATGCTTCTCAACGCATCGATCATCTTCCAAATATATATTCAAACTCCTTGGTTCCTGACTTCTGGTTTGACTGACTTTGAGATCCTCGTTCACAAAGAAGTTATGGGCAACAGTGTTGTCTAACCCTAAAAACCAGTGTCACGTTTCACCTTTCCTTCAGTTCCATTGACATTTTATTGATAAAATTTAGACGTTATCAATAAAACCCAAGAACAATCTCTTAAGTTGGATTTTTTTAAACTTCTTAATATATTGTTGTTTCTATTGTGTTCTTTATAGGTTGGGCGTCCAACAGCATTCACAGTAAATTACTCAGGAATGACAGGTAGAATGAGAGCATATGTAGTAGCTCCATCTGGAATACAGTCAGATGCATTTGTACACCAAGTGGATGTTGATCAACACGCAGTAAGATTTACACCTCATGAAAATGGAGCACATTTGGTGCATGTACTAATGGACGAACGTCCAGTACCTGGAAGTCCATTCCGTGTATTGGTTGGACAAGAAGAGAGTGGTCATGTTACAGCTAGTGGGGAAGGTTTGACTCATGGACGTGTTGGTATGTTAAATATTTTCAATGATCAGAACTTAATATGTACTAAGGATACTATGGTTAAAAACTTATTCTTATTGGACAGACATTTTTACAACCACTTAGTTGGTTTCAGTTTTATTGAAATCAACCGATCTAAGCTAAACATCATATTTTTGACAGACATTTTACCTTACTTAAATATATTAAGTAGTAGCATAATTTTCCATGAAAAATATCTCTGGTTCATCAGATTTACAGCAATAACACTAATGAGCCGAATGATTTGAGGCACTTATAAAAATTGCTTGGCAAATAAATTCAGATATCCTTACTGGAATAAATATGACTAAATTTTTAACTCTTCTATCTTAAATTCAGTTGATTTACGGATTCGTAAAACAATCATTTGGTACCAATAAGGCTTCAAGAAATAGGCTACACCAAATTTCCGTTTTCTTCATTCGGACTGTTATTATTTGTTTAAGGAATATAATACACTATATGAATCAAAACTAAAGTAGGGATCTGTTGAAAAATTCAGCCCATTAATTTACTGCTTTCATTTCCTTCTACATAAGAAACCAAAAGATATAGTGAAGACCATTCATGTGAATAATAACATGGTATATATTTATTGATGCGAGATAAGTTGAAGAGACCCAAGGTTAACTAACTTTCTGTGAACAAAAATGAATTTCATATAAGCTTCTCTCTTACTATAAAAAGATCCTATTTGACCATAAAAAAACCAATTATTCATGTACCAATCAATTTAATGTCGTTTTTCTTATTCAGGTGAACGTAATCGATTTTTCGTAAACACTGTTCAAGCTGGAAGTGGTGCTTTATCAGTTACTGTGGATGGTCCTAGTAAAGTCCAATTAAATTGTACTGAACGGTCAGATGGATACGATTTCACTTATTTGCCATTATCGCCTGGTGAATATCTTATCAGTATTAAATATGGTGATTCACAACATATTATAGGTTCACCATATAAAGTAAGCATTTTTAATTATAAAAGATTCATAATTAACTTGGTTCATAACTGATCCCCTCCGTTGTTTAACTTAACAAGAATAAGTGTCAGGCTTTAATTATCTGAAAGAGCTGAGTAATAAAAGGTATAATCATGAAATTGCATCTGTTAACCTAAGAACAACACAACTTATGTTTCTGTTTGTATAAAGTCCTGGAACGTTTATTTACAAGTGTGATAACATTAATTTCACTCAATAACTCAATTCTCCTCGTCATTCAAACATCACAATCTTATTAATTTAAGGTCATCTTAGTTTACTAATTTGGCTTATTTCAACAAACTCTTTTAAGTATTCACGGTTTGTTCAATATTTAATTAATTTGCTAGAAGACTTATAACTTGTGGCCGAGTGGATGCCTTGTTAACGTATGAAGTGATAAGACCGCCAATCAGAGAGCAACGAATTATCGATTGGAACAGTGACACACGAAAACCGTACGAGCAGTTTAGAGTACGTATGGGTCATGCTTCTGCCTAGCCCAGCCAGTTAAGTCCAGAACACCAATAACAGTTAATCAATTAATTTAGATACGAAATATCACATTGAAAATCACGAACTTTGGTTAGACTCTTAGAAAAATATATAAATATACTAATCAAGTGTAGCTGTTTGTATTATATCAGGATGAGATTATGATTATACGAGTTAAGAAAATAGCAGGTACACCATCGAGTGTAATACGAATTGGTAGTAATATATAATTCAAACAAAAATAATAAACTAGCTTGAAGAATTTTTTTTGGGAAGGTAAAGATTGGATGAACAAAGACATTCCATAGCTAACAAGTCAAATAAAAGTATAAAATGAGAACACTTTTCCAAGAAAGTCATATGATGATCCGTCACTTTTATCGATGCTATGAGAACAATTGATTGATCACTGATTAGTGACGAAGATTATGTTTCTCTAGTCCCTGAGTGCTGATTGAATTCAATCGATAAAGTCTTAGTGTGGATATCAGTCCAAGTGACTTGATATTGTGTATATTATGATGATATGTGGTTAGGAACCATTGCTCAGTAGTGATGTCGCAGACTTTGAAGCTGAATGACATGGGTTCGAATTCACCGAGGAAGGTCGATTACAAAATGTTTGTATTTACGCCATGCTAGCGAGTGCCAACTAGGACAAAACCTAATGCCACAGTTTCCTGAAGACTAACTTCAACCACCTAATATGGTATAGGAATAGCTGGCTGATTTAAACAGTCAAAACTAATAGTCTAGACAAACGCTAAAACCTACACCACACAAGACTGACTTCCACTTTAGTAACAAGAAAATTCCCCGATGCAAGTTACAATGATGATAAGTAATCAAAAATTTTATTTTAACAACCGAGTATATCAAGTATTATAGACAAAGATGAGAAATCACAGGGAGTTTTACGTATAATATCTTTAAATTTGTCGATAAAGATACCATTATTTATTTGTTTAAACACATAAATCTTGGTACAAGGGGGGTACCAGATATATTTGCGCCATGAAAATCTCACTTGATTTGTGTGAGCGATGTGATACTGACCAGGTGCCCAAACTCAAGCAGGTGGTTTTCTTAGGAGGTCACACCCAGAGCCTTTGATCTAAAGGTCTGATCCACAAGACAGTGGAGCATCGTGAGGAGATGCAGTCCCATGGTAACCGGTGACCAACAATAGGTTCATACGCCATTCGTTACATCAGGATACCGGAGTCCACGTGCACCATTGGTTTGGAATCAGAGTTTTCCAACTCCCCTAGGTGGACTTTCCATGTCCACCAACCTGGTTAAAGCGCCAAACATTCGCTTTTCGCCCTCTCCGTTTCGTAAACAACACCCCCACCACGAGAAGGCAATGATACCTAGACGTATCGTGTCTCCCAGTATACATACTGTCTTATAGTTCTATCGAAACAAAGGCTCATACATCTGGTTAACTAATAATTTATCAACATAAACTATTTTTCAACGTTTCACACGTCAATTCATCGAAGAATGGTTGTGTTAATGACGAAAAATAAAGATAACCAGTGCTATTGTTAATAGATCATCATTTTAGCGTACAATAAAAGCCAAAATTAATATTGACCTTTATCATACGTTCTGTATTAACAACTTCAAAGATAGAATGTATAAACTTATAAAAAACATGTTATGTCATTATATTTGATGAATAACCAGTAAAACAATTCTGTTTAATTTAATATTTTATTAAACAGGCAATTGTGACAGGAGATGCTGTACACGAAACAATCACAACTGACACAACACATGTTGTGGTAGAAACAGGAGGACGTATGGTTAATGGACCACATTCTAATCTTGGTCCATCTAGACCGGATCGTGTTACATGCTCTGGACCGGGACTTAAACAAGCATATCTTAATGAAGCTAATACATTTACAGTTAATGCATCACAAGCAGGTAATTTTGGTTATGCGCCAAATATGTAATTTTAATTAGTTTGATATATTTTTGGGAACTATTGGTTTCTATTGTCTACTTTACTAACTAATCTTAGACTATAAGTAAAAACCAAGAGGCATTGGAAAGCCGTTTCACTCTATTATGGGACTCCTTATTAGTGTGTATCCGCTATCCTTCTACAAATTAAACTCAGGACCTTCAGGTTTCAAGGCGAAGGCTTAACCTTGAGATCACTGAGTTGATTTTCTTAAGTTAATCAAATTAACTCACTAGTTTCTCTAGTATGAGCGACACTAAAAGGGTGAGGACTAATGGTATTACTCCACTTCCCAAACCAAAGTGGGTAGAGTGCGGTGAGGACCTAACGGTTTAAATTTCTAACTACAAGCAATTCAAGATATTGAGCCGCCGACAATACACATGTAGATGGTAGAACTAGGTAGCTTATCTATATTTCATGAATTCCTTATTGCATAAATGAAAAAATACGTTGTTCTGTTGAATGCTATTTCTGAGGGTTCTCTTATACGTCGTATCATTATTTCATTGACTATAACACTTTCAGGAAAAGTTTCTTTTCAGCACTATTGAGGACTTCACTTTAGTTTTTGTTATGGACACATGTTACACTAGGGATTTTAATGAATATCTACTTTCACTCAGTAGATCATTGGTACGTTTTGACTCCTCTTGGCAAAAATCATTCACTCCTATATATTATTTAGGCTTAAAAATCAAATGGCTACAACGTAACAGTAAGCAATCTAAGTGAATAGATACTATATTATCTAAAGTAGAACACGCTAGTTACTTTTCTGTTCAATATAATATGTATGTTATAATTTCTAATCAATTTGATCATGTAATGTAGATTCATTTATGTATTCTAAGACTGAATTTGTGACATTACAATTCAAATAAAAGAACCGATTATAGTTACATAACTCACTACAACTACGTTACATGAAACATAAGTGTATGTGAACAAGGCTTAATTGAATCATACAAATTTATAATGAACTGAATGTTAATGATAATAGTTATCAATATGATAACAATCAGCAGCCTATCATATTTAATTAGCTTGAATAAAAATCCGATACAATAAATAGTAAGCTTCTTAAGTTGTGCCAAAGAACACATTACGCCGGGAAATAGAAGCAGATATGAAAAGGATGAATAACAACTGGAACGAACTGGAAAGGATTGTCCAGGACAGAGTTGGATGGAGGATGCTGGTGAGTGGCCTATGCTCCTCAACGAGGGGTAACAGGCGTAAGTAAGTAAGTAAATTAAAACATTAATCAAGGTGCATCATGAAACACGGATAAATTTCCATTGACTCTGTATTATATTAGTGAAAACCCCTGTTCATGGATAGAATTTTCATTACATTTTATTATTATTTATTTTCTTAAAAACAAAAAAAACATTCCAGGTCATGATGTACTGTATGTTGGAGTATCTGGACCAGTTGTAGCCTGTGAAGAAGTCAACATTAAACATATGGGTTATGGTCAATATTCAATTAGTTATACTGTACGTGATCTTGGTCGTCATTTAATTATGATTAAATGGGGTGATCAACATGTACCAGGCAGTCCATTCACTGTTGATGTTATCTAATTCAATGAAATCTTTTTTTAAAAAAATCAACTGTATTACAATTTGTCCAACCAATTTTAGTACCATTCATGACAAGGCTTATGATAATTACACGCTTATTAACTATACTTTTAAATGACTGATAATAGATATTCCTTTACATATGAATGTAATAATTACAACAAAGTGTTATCCACAAATATATAGAGGGTGAATTGTTTAAAACAACAACAACAACAGTAAAGCACCTAGTTTACAAATGCCTATATAAAACTAATTGCATTGCTTTAATCCTTCATACATTTCTACCCCTAGGCTTTTTCTGAAATTTCTTTTCGCATGACTTTTCTCCTTTTCTTGGACTTTCAAAATGACGAAAACACACATTACCAACTGGGAAGGACTCACTATAGATAGACATATAGTATTCTTCTTTGTTCCGTTAGTATTTCGCTTCTGAAAAATGAAAAAAAATTGTTTACTATTATTTATATTGTTAATAATCGTCAACTCAACAGATTTACATGTTACACTTACAAGTGTACTTCTGAATTAGCCGATTGATGCTTCCTTCAATTGTTTGTTATTGTTCAAAGAATTAAAGCATATTCACTAACACACTATTTATATTGTATTCTAAATCTATTCTTTTTCGTCTATAAACAATGTTATCCCGTTAAAAAGTATCCCCATTTATTATTATTATTATTATGATATATAATACGTGTCATCAAGTTTAAACAATGTTGTTTGAATGAAACAAACAAGCATCAACTACATATATTGGTTCTTCTTTCTTTTATCTCAAATACAACACCTTAATGCCTTACTACTTATTCCCTAATTCTATTAGTGCCTAATTATTATTATTATGGCTTTCTTAATTTCTTAGTAAATTATTATCTAAACAAACCTAATTTAACTAAAACCCACCTTCCAACTTAAGTTAGTTAATAATTTTGTTTGTTTGTTTGCTTTTACTGTTTGATCCGACCCTATGGGTTAGATGATAACCAAAGACAGTGGTAAAAAGTATAATTTAATTCTTTATAATTATGAATTTGAAGTAAACTATCTATTTGATTTCTGATTATAATTTTAATTACCTTATGTGTTATTCTTGTTGTTGATGGAATGAAAATTTTCATAAAATATTTCATTATTATTCGATAGGTATATGAATTTCACTTCAGATAGGATTTGTCAGACATTTGTAATAGGAACTGTTATATCTTGAATTTAGATTCTTAGTATGTCACTTGATAGTTGAGCACTCGAACGCTAGAACCCTCCAAAGTCGTAAAATGAGAAGACAGAAGACTAGTAAGTAGGAATGTTATTCCAAACAGTGGCAAATATAGTACAAAATCTTATGTATTTATAGTTTTTTTTGGCTGAAAGTAAATTATCATTTCGGACAGCCAATATGGACATAGAGGGTCCTTCTTATTCACCCAATAAGGAAGTTACACGTCGACATTCTGGAGTGTTCCTCTAGCGGTGATCGGATGGAATGTCTTCGGCTCTTTCTGGGCTTCTTGAGTTTGCTAACGACCCATCCTTACAGGAAGGTAACCTCAGCGTGATATATCTCAAGGTTAGTGTTAGTAAACTATATGGATGTCCTTCGGTGGCTCTGAAACAACATTGACGAAGTAAGATCCGCCTACAGCCAGCCAAGATGCAGTTGATATGAATGTAGGTAGTTCTCTGACTTTAAATAACAAGAACCTATACGTTATCTATAAAATTTATTAATCAAGAGCCTTTTTGTATCTAAATCTGATTGGTTCGTCAGTATAGCATACATCTGTCCCTGAGAATCTATTCGGAAAATTGCTTGTCTTGATTACTACTGACTCCGATAAATAAATTAAATCTATCGAACAAGTATTGATGAGTTTAAATGTAAAGTCACATTACTTCAGCTGACAAGGGCAAACTGTAACTAATTAAGTCCAAGGCGATAACTGGTCTTTGATGAATGAACATGTTAAAATGTAGATTTTGCAGTTCGATAACTGCAACAAAGTTTCATTCTTATGATTGACATTAGACACAGAGGATTATTTGTCCAGTTTGCCGGTAAAAGACTTAAGCGCAGTTGACAAAGATGTTTATTATAATTTCCATAGACGTATTTCTAATCAAAGTGACAATTAGTAAACTCCTTAAGTATCTCATCTCGAGACTAACATCTGAACATGTATTAAAGGTTGTCTTTTGAAATATCTATGTTATGACTATCAGTAAAATAACAAGAAACAATGTATGAGTAAACTGATTGGAGCAAACAAATTACGACTAGATCTCAACAAGAAAACCTATTTAAAAAGATAACTTATTATTAACCTGAGGCCTTAATTCATAAGCAATGAGAATGTTCAAATCTTAACCTTGAAAAGTAGTAATCAATGCAACTAAACACTAAAGATATCGACTTAACAGTTTTATTAATAATACGATGTAACTCATCTATCATGTACAGAATTATTTATTTGATTTCGAAGCACATCGAACGAGACCATAATTTATGGAAGACCTTTGAACGAATCTTGAGAGATTTCAGTCAATCACAATACAGTATAGAGTAATATATTATACAAAACCAAAAATTTAGAGTGGATACACTTTTTAAACGTAGTTGAAAAACCTCCAGAGGTTAGAAAAAGGCTGTGCAGTTCTAAACTTGTAATGCATACGTACAGGAGCTCATCCATGTAACTCAATAATAGTCGACTTCTGGAGCCATGATAATGTCGAGGACATTCTTTTAGCGTCCACCAAATTGCTTCTGTATTATTGGTGTGTACTCCCGTGGTGAGGTCTACAAAATCTCGCTTGTGAGCGATGATACGATACACATAACTAAGTCTAGATAGTCATCGACATGCTTTCCAGTCATCCGTTTTTATTGTGGTACCCGGCTGCACATACTCTCCTATAAATGGTATAATCGTTGTAGCCTGTCGGTTTCTCACGTGCTGGAAATGTCCCTTATGAGATGGTCTATCATATGTACCAAAGACCTGTTAAGTATACTTAAGGAAGTGCTACTTACTCTGTCTTCTTTAACATTTCTCCTAACGACTATTTCGTCGATTTCTATGATTCTCCCGATTCCTCTAAAAGACTGATGCTTTTCATTTTCATTGCACATATATTTTGACGGTACTCATACCATTGAACTGCCGAAGCCTTAGTAACATCCGCAAAGGTTGCAGCCAGTGTTACTGGTTCTTTCGTTATCGAGTTTACAACAAAGTATCATAATCTATCTTAGTGTTAATTGGGATCGAGTGAAAAAAGTCGCGGTTCTAGAAGACGTTTTCCTCCAATATATATTACATCGAGATACAACATCGTCACGATAGTCCGAACAATGTCCAGCAGTCATCTGAGCACCACAATCTCAGTAATCCCATTTGTTGTAGCCGCTCAACTATAACGTCCTCCTTGAAATCCGCTGTAAACCGATAGTACGTGAGCATTGGTTATTGAAATAGGTGCTATGACCTTGAGATCGCTCACTCGCTTTGAGTTGGCTCGTTCATAAATCATAGTCTCGTCACAACTTTTGGTCTGTAAAGCTCTTGATGTCGATTTCATCTGAAATTTGTTTCTCTTTTGTAGTTTTAGTTCTCCTAACAGAAAAGTGTACAATACACTATGTATTAGTAGATTGATAAATCTCGACCAGATAATCAAGATACATCACATATACAACTTTCGAATTGTCTTATAATGATGTGACAATAAGTAAGGAGAATATATAAATGAAATTTAAGTGTGAATTAACAACAACGATTGCCAATTGTACATTACATGAATTTACTCAGATGATTTCTTAATTGACTGATGTATATCTGGATTACTTCGATTATCCATTGAATGACAAACTATAGCTGTATAGATTTATAGAATGTGTACTCGGAATTGAGCTAAACATTTTAGACAAGTTTCAGGAATAATACATGAACCAAAATCCATACAAAATAGCAACCAATAAATATAATTTATTTAGCAAGGGTTAAGCTAATTTATTGAACTGCGCACCACACAACTACCGAATATTATTTATTTAAACACATAAGTGTTGGTACAAACGAGCACCAGATATATATGCGCCACACAAATCTCATTTGACTTGTGTGAACGATGTGATACTGACCATGGTGCCCAAACTGAAGCAGGTGGTTTTCTTAGGAGGTCACACCCGAAGCATTTGACCCAAAGGTCTGATCCACAAGGCAGTGAAGCATCGTGAGGAGATGCAGTCCCATGGTAACCGGTGACCAACAATAGGTTCATACGCCATTCGTTACATCAGGATACCGGAGTCCACGTGCACCATTGGTTTGGAGTGAGGGTTTTCCAACTCCCCTGGGTGGACTCTCCGTGTCCACCAAACCGGTTAAAGCGCCGTACATTCGCTTTTCGTCCTCTCAATGTCGTAAACAATACCCACGCCACGAGAAGGTAGTAAGTAGGACTTCCCTGGCAGAGGCTATATACGCGTGGCCATGTGAGAGCATTTGGAGAGGGAGAACGGACTCTCCCCACTCTCAGCCGTAACAGGGCATTTGGGTAGCCAATAATGCTTTTGTTTTGTCAAAAGAAAGCATTTGAATGTGTAATAAGTAAGATTTAAATCTTGTAATCCAATATATAACAAATACAATATAACATCCATTAAGTCACAATCTCAAACATGATTGACGCTAATTTCCAAAACAACAACACGTAAAAAAATGAAAGTTCATTTCAAAAAAGTCAAGAAAACCAATAAGGCTAATAGTCATTAGAAATACTAATAAACATAGAAAATCAATGAACTCTGATCAAAATAGATTATGATTTATTCAAATGGAAAAAAATATAACTGTAAAATATAATTTACAAGTTGTTTTTATTTATAAAATAACATATCTATTTATTTTTCTTTAACGTTCTTTGTTTATCAGCATTAAGCACTAATTGTTCATTTAATGGTAATCCTTTGCGTAGTCTAACTTCCCGAATATATCGTTGTACTCTAGAAATCCGACTTGTAGATTCATCCATATTTTCACCAGTTCCATCGTCACCACCACCACCACCACCATCATGAAGACTTGAGATTGGTAGTTTTGGTCGAAAAACTTTACTGAAACCTCCTTTCGTGCGAAACGGTTCACCAAACGATTCTTTATTATCTACAGAAGACATATCTTTTTGTAGCGGATCAATATCCAGCAATTCCCAGCCACCAGGACGTAATTGTGGAAGACTGACAACACCACTGGTACGTTTTCTTATTTCATCTGAAAGTCCAAAACTTTCAATAACAGGTAATCTGGCACTAATAATAAAAGTATTTTCGCCTTCTCTAAAATCTTCACTAACAACTCTGCCATATCGTCTGCGAAGAACTCCAAACATGCGTCCTAAAACATCACTTCGAGCCTGAAAAAAAGGTGAAATTTCTGTTATTGACAAGTAAGGAAATGAGTAGGAAGATGAAGATCAAAGAATAAAATATCATGACATTTTAACCAAACTAAAGTGTTCGCATAAATCAATTCATAAATCTAATTTATATTCAGTATCCATTAGTTTAGACTGTATGTTCCTTCCTATTTAAGTTGCTTTCATGCCCGAAAGCAAGGTGTACAGAAATTAATTACAAATCCGTGACTATATGAATTTATTCTTTACTGGACCAAATATTTTACAAAGACTGGGATGTAAATTAGTAAACACACAACAATACTATTATGAGTTGTACAATTAAGTTATTAAATATAAACTTTAAAAAATTTAGTTAGAAATAGTTCACCATATAATTAGTAAGCATACTTGCAATTCCAAGTCATATACAGCAATCATTAAGCGTTGAAATGGACAGGATTGAAATGCAGCTATGCAGGCTCGTGTCATAGCTGGTGTTAAAAGACCTGGTGGAATATCATGTAACCATGACATGTCAGACCGTCGTTGCCAATAAGGAATTTCTTTGGTTGTGTCAAAACAGGCTTCCATTTCGGAATTCTAGAAAAAGACAACATCAAAGAATGAAAGTAAACACAGGAAATGATTTTCGTCATGTGTTGATAGTCGAGTATAATGGACAAGATTGAGTGAAAATTTAATTAACTGAACTATAGAATCGATTTTATGGATCAGTTGCTTGGTGGTCAAGGCCTTCTGTTTTTAATCAGCAACACGAAGGTTCGAAACCCGCTCTCAGATACTACTGTTTTTTGAGAAACTGAATGCTTACACAAAGTGTGGCTCAAGGCCTAGTGCATAAACTTGTACTTGTTAAATAACTAACCTTAAGTGATTAAATTGATTTGTGAGTGTGAATCAGCACTACTACACAGTAGTCAATTAGATATTTTTTAGTTCTCACTGATGATATACAACTTAACTGATAAAAGGAAATATAGAAATTATGAGATTCTAGATCCCTAAGCATACCTTTCCATTACTTAACATTCAGTTTTGTTCTTCTACTCCACTGAAACTAAGTTATTTTCACTAGGTCTCCAGTCTGACAGTTACCTACAAACATTATAGAACTTGGCACTGATGTGAATCGGTTCAAGTAACGATATCGTATCAGCACAGAGAGAGGAAATTATCCAAATAGATACCAAAGTAGCAGCAGCAGTAATAGTATCAGGAATAATAGAAAAGGTTAGGGATCGACAATACGGTTTGAGAATGAATGAATACATGAAATAAAAAAGTATAAGATAATTTTTAAACTGGATATCTAAGGGAAGAAGAAGAGTGAATCCATTTACGCTTTCGCGACCGATTGCAAACCATGCCAACCAACGTATCTAAGAATTGGTTAGGACATAATCACAAAGACCCTAAGCAGGGGGTCCGAGCCTACTAACACGATTCAGTCCAACGGTCAGTAACTTCATGAACTGATCCAAAAAATTCGTATGTCGCATTCTGTTCAATTCCAAACTACTCCTACAACATCAACACTGAACATTTAGGTAGGTGAGATACGAAAAACATGTCCCAACTACCTCACATGGTGAGGATTCATCACCGAGATCTACCTACTGCCTTGAATTTAAAGTTAGCATTACTTAATGATCTCAACATACTTGAGCAATTCTTCGAAGATATCTACGATCGAATGCTAATAACTTATAAATATCATCTTTTTAAAAGCCATACCTGGTTTTTAACGTATAGAATGAATTACTTTTTTTGAAACAAACGAAAAGCTATATATATATATATATATATATATATATATGGATAGATACCTGTACAACAGCTACGTTGGAATTTTCAACATCAGAGAATCGATCGGATCGACTATCTTCATTTTCTGAAGAATCAGAACACCAATTCTCATTATCATTATCATCACTGTCTTGATCAACTTCTTCTGAGCTACTATGATACAAATGCTCAATTTCATCATCATCTAACCACGAAATGGATGTTAATCGTTTTGATTTACGTTTACATTTATTACTTAATAATTGATTATCCGGTTTATTATCAGTTGAACAAGTAGTGGCAGTTGGAGATGATAGTATTGAATTTTTCAATGGTAACGGTGCTGCTAATTCATTATTAATATTTGATTCATGTGATTTATTTTCTCGACAAATAACATTATTATCATTATTATTATTATTAGTAGTAGTAGTAGTAGTATTGTCATTACTATAATTTGGTAATTTTAATGTATCCAAATTTTCTGCTACAATCTCTTCTAATACAAATACAATACCATACATTGGTTCAGCACAAAGTGGTCCTTTTAAAGTGGCCTGTTGAAAACCTCGTAGTAATGCTTTACCATAACTAATAATTGGTAAATTGATATTAGATTTTTTATTTATATTTTTTAAATGTATAGTAGAATTATTCAATGATGAATTAAGTTTTTTACCCCAAACAGTACATAATGGAAAATAATCAGTATTTAAATGACTAATTAAAATATTTGGTCCAGTTTGATTCGGTCCAAAAGCTAACAATGATGTTGTTATTTGATTCCAATTGATAGCACATGCGGAAGTACATTTTGATGTTAATTGACAACAAGTATTTGATAGCTGTTGTTCAAATTCAGATAAAAGTTTAGTGTAATTTAATGCCTAAAAAAAAGAAAGAATATTTTTTCCCATAAGATCAAAGTCATATACAACGTAGAACCTCATATGTATGTGCGTTAGTTCAAACCACCATATTATAAAAGCACAGAGAAGAAAAATTACTAAAATAAATAACACAGTAGAAGATGTAGTGAGAGTATAAGTAGTAGTAGAGAGAAAGAATAGTTATGAAAAAACTATAATATTTTGGAACCCCGAGTCTAACAAAAGACAAAGGGTAAATCCTCTTTCGTCGTTGCGAAAGATTTTAGGCCATGTCACTCAAAGTATCTAACCAGTGGTTGAGATGGTCCTGTGGACCCAAACTAGGTAATCAACAACTTATTTAAATACCCCTAAATGCACTGGTACAGTGAAGAGTGGGGAGAGTCAGCTCTCCTTCTCCAATTGCTCTCATATGGTCACGCGTATACAGCCAGTGTTAGGAAAGTCCCACTCACTGCTTCTCGGGAGGGAGGATGTTGTTTACGAAATTGAAAGGACCAAAAGTGAATGCACGGTGCTTTAACCGAGTTGGTGGATACAGAGGATCTACTTAGGAGAGTTGGAAAACCAAAATTCCAAACCAATGGTGTACGTGCGTTCCAGGATCCTGAGGGAACAAACGGCGTATGAACTTATTGTTGGTCACTGTGTACCATGGGACTGCATCTCTTGACGTCGCTCCACTGCCTTGTGGATTAGACCTCTAGGTTAGAGGCTCTGGGAGTGGTTCCCCAAGAAAATCAATTGTTTCGGTATGGGCGCTCGGACAGTATTCCAGTCGTCGCACACACTGAATAAATTGAATGGCACATACGTATTTGGTGTCTCCTTGTACCAATCTTTATGTATTTAAATAAAGTTCGATAGTCAGTATCTTCACGGAGTGATGCCATTTCTTGTTTTGGCAGTCTATAGCTTTCTTTTAGCCTACTTTTACACCAGACAACTTCAACCATCAAAGTCGTCGATACATTAACATACGTAATACATATCCCAACTACCTTATTTGATTACGATAAGCCATTTTATAAAGTGACTTATCTTCTTTACCCAGTACTCTATGCCTAACCTCAGCGCTGGTCACTTAATGATCCGAAAATACACGAACAATGGTTCTTACCATAAAAATGTGTGGATAATGTACATTTTTGTAGATAATATTC